AGCTAGCGTTAGTTTAGCGGTAATGCGAGCGTTGGTATAGCGGCGTTCTGCGCATGAGAGCGTTGCCTCGGCGGGGGTATAAATAGCAGCAGCGTTGGTTTAGCAGCATATCGCGTTTGACTACTGGGAAATTATTTCAAGTAGGAAGTGTTTAAGAGTAAAGACCTTTATTGGAATTTGTAACTTTAACAAAAGTCCTTCAAGGATTAAAGAAGAAATGTTTTAAATCTAAAGTGCTTCTATTAATGTAATATGACATTAAGAATGAATAACATTACAATTTTCTTTAATAATCTCTCATATCATTTCAAACAAACATATCACAATTTAATCGTTGCATTTCCATTACTTGAAACCGATTTACGTTCAAATTGCTTTAACAATGTCAAATAACATTTACAGCAAAGTTATAATCATGACGCATGACAAATTTTGCATTGCTGTGCGCGCATCAACTTTTTGTATAATACCATGACGAGTGCAACATTTTACAAGCTGCGCAGAAAATTCACAGATAATTTATTGAATTGCTTGACGTGAAAACACTAGGTATATACTATATTTGAATAAAGGTCTCAGTAAAAGTATATTTGTATTTACCCTTTGCATTCGTTTGACTTCACTTCTTAAAAGAGAGCTTCGTCTGTAGTTTAACTAGACTCTGCACGCAGGGTAATTTGTATTAACATTTAATGAAAAACAAAAATCGCATAATTCACCTTTTTAAAATCCAAAATCACAAACTTTGAGCGCTTAATTTAGGAATTTACAATGCAAAAAATTGAAATGCCAGACATGAATATATATCAAATATGTAAAATGCACAAGTGTCTCCACAGTGTTTTACACAGTGGTGCATTTCTCCACGTATTTATAGCCAAATTCTGGTCCCGCTCCGACACCTCTATACCAACGCCAAAGCAAAGTTCATCGCCGCCATGGAACGCTGCGACAACGTCCGACACCGTTCCAACAACCCCATGTACGCTGATAAAACGCTAACAACCGCTCCACCGACGTTTGTGCAACGTTTAATCGCCGCCCGGGCAACGCTGGCGAAGCAGCGGTGGTCCAGCGTTTAAGATTTCTGCGTTGGTCTAGCGGATTCAAGCGTCCACGAACTTGCGTCTAGCGGTGCCAAACTTTGACTGGGCGTTGGTGGAGCGGTGATAAACTTTGCTAGGGCGTAAAATTGTCCCTTTTTCAACGCTCGCAATATTTTGAGCAGCTCAAAACTTTTGGAGCGTTAGGATGGCCACTCGAGAAACATCCGCGTTGGCCGAGCGTTTACAGCGTTGCTTTAACGGATGCCAACTTTTGTTAAACGGTGGTGAACGTTTACGAGCGTTGATGATTTTTTTCAACGTTCAAGGAACGCTCCAGCAACGTTTAGGCGGTGTGACCGGGCCTTAAGCACATGTGCCAAAGAGAAAGGACCAAAAGTTGTAATGGAACCTAGCGAGAAAAATCAAACTCTAAGTGTATACCAGTCATACGAAAATCAAACCCCAAATATTCCAAAACTATGATCTTACGTGAAAATATAGTGTGTATTTGTATCATCGTATCAAATACGTACAAAGTTATTTGGAAGGGTTAAAATTCAAAATGAAATTAGAGCCTGGATAGTTTTTGCACTTTAATTTCTACCTCGTATATTATTAGTTTTTACATCATATTCAGATATCATGTTTCTTATGAATTCATGAACTTGTCATGAGATTTTACTTTGGTCTTTCCCTTTCATTGTATTCCCATAGGTAGGCTATGTAATAAGATTCCCAGAATCATATAATATTATTCTTACGATTGCACACTGCATTATCATCCACGAGCCAATCAAAAATAACTTCCTTATCGGTACTTGATCAGCTTTATAATGATTAATGAGTGAAAGTGAAAAGAATCCATTGTCATAAATCATGGCGGACAAAATTTCGTATATGATGCAATTTTATATCCCTGTAGGTTTAATAGAGCACGTAGATTAAATTCCTTTAGTCACAAAAATCAATTAGAATGTATTTTGAGCAATCGTAAAGTTAAGTACTATAAGCGTCTATATTAGAGAGATTTCGCACATAAGTGAAAGTACAACTTATACGTATACGTATAGTTTAAAGGGTCATGTCGAACTATTATATTTACTAAAATCAATTTTAAATTGTAGTTAATGGAACATAACGATTCCCGTTATAGAAAAGCTCCATCAACTAGAGACTATGAATGTACTGTCATCTGCACGTGTAGATTATGCACATTATAATTAAATGCTTGCTTCCGTGTCCTTGTAGTTGTAGTGTATTATAAACACGATCCTTTAAAGGGAGTCATGATTCTTTAAAGTGAGTCATTACATAAACAAGTTGATTATTTCAATGTTTTCATGATCAGTATAAGTTCAATGAACTTACAAAACGGCATATTTACGTAGATGATAACGTATACAGTTGGATCTCCGTATAAAGATTTGCCTACATGTGTGGGGAACAATTGACCGCAAGCATTTTTTAAAATTAATTGGCTGAGTGGGAACAGTATCCAATCAAATACTTTAACCATCAATTTGAAACACCAATCAAACCAGTAGGTTCTAGCAATTCCTGGAAACGACCCATTCAGTAGCTCAACATATGACATACAGGGTGTTTCATAACGAGCATCTCCAAAAAGTCAATTTGAGAAGAGATGGGTCTGTAATATATGTACTATATGTGACCAATTGACAGTTTACTTTCATTTATAGATGGCACTTGGTATTGCCATGTTTCAGTTCACATAAATAGCTGGAAAGGGGATTTCCACTTCCTCTTTCTACCACACTTCAATAGGTGTACACATAAGTTTTTTATCTCCAACACAATCCACCACAATATTATAACATGGTAAGCCATCCATTCTTTATTTTACATTTATGTATTTCAATTCACATTTATCAATCAATTACAGCATATATTTTGGGTATTTTCTGTCATTTTATCACATATTGTCAACTTAGAAATGTGTTCATATTTTTATACAGTTATTTGGCTGGTCCCTACTTCTGCAACCCACTATCCATTCCTGAATACCCGTAGCCCAAGAAAGAGCCAGTTCTGTAAGTTATTTAGTCGGGTTGCAAAATGTTTAAATCCTAATTCTCAACATGCCTCATTTTATATTATTGTAAAGTGCCAAATGCCATATAATGTGAAATGCCATATTGTATAAATGTCATATTGTGTAAATGCCATATTATGCGAAATGCCATATTGTATTTTACTATATAATACGAAGTACTTATTATTTGCATTTGTATTTTTTTAGCTTCTCTGGCTCTGTTTGTCGTAATAAACAACTGTCACATCATACGTCTTGTTGCTTACATATATATGAGCCTATTTTATTCTAGACAAACACATTTGGATCAACTAAACATGCTACAATTCAAGAAAGTACAAATGGCATCCCTTTGACCTGTATTTATTACAGTCCGAGAAGATCTTTCCTGACGAAAAGCTCACATTATGAAACACCTTGTACGTTTACCTATAAGTATAAGTATACGTTATAAGTTGTACTTTCACTAGGTGCGAAATCTCTCTATTACTCAATAAACTTCTCTTAAACATGTGATCATTTTGATTATTCTTTTAAACAAAATATAATGAATTCAAACCTATATGTTAATTGTTCTACTATAGCTGATTTATAATGAATGCAATTCATCTTTTCTTTTTTGCTCGTCTGTTGTTCAAAAAGATAGAATAATACGTTCATTTCCATAAAGGTTTAGTTTTTAAGTAACATAGTAACCAACAAGGAGGTAACGTTACACGTTTTTAAGAGAACTTTTACGTGAACGTGTAATATTATGAACCCGGGGATTACTCCGTTCCTTATACCTTTCTACAGGGTGGTCAAAAAAAACGGCAACCCTAATTTTTCCTCATATCTTTGGCATTTTTATAAAATTTTGTCCTGATATTTGGCACACATGTACATCATTCAATTTAATACTAGACTGTGTAATTTTATGAACATTGGTCTGATAGTCGCAATGTTACAGCACTTTAAACAAGGTGCCCCAGTTTTCCAATATCGTGCTGTAGGCAAACCTGCACATGTTTTCCAAACCTGTCAATGACATAACAGCATTCCTCGGCAAGTATGGCCTGAATGACACATGTGATCTTTATTTTGAGGTCAAATGTCTTTCTGGTGTTATTACCCTACACTCTATCTTTGGGGTATCCCCACTGGTAAAGATTAAATGGGGCCATATCTGGGCTATGGGGTACCCATTCATTGTCTCTTGTACTGCTGGTAATGTGGTCATTGAAGTGGTCTCAAAGCCAATATTGTGCATCATTGGGTGTATGGGATATGGTTCTGTCTTGTTGGAACCACTGTTGCTGCCTGGGTTCACCTAAAGTCCCCAAGAACTCCATGGGAATCACAAAATAGAGTTTGATGTTGACAGTTATTGCATATCTGTTAGCATCATCAAAGGTAAAGGACCCTATCTTCTGAGAACACACTAAACTGTGCATCTGTCTGTGTGAAGGTGCCTCCCCACTACTTCATAAAGTGCTTTGCTCCCCAAAAATACTTAATTGTTATAGTTTACCAGTGCATCAAGTTGGAAATGGAGTCCATTTGGATAACAGTCCAGCTCAGACAGCCCGAAAGTGGCCATCTGGGGTATGTTGCTTAAAATGCAGTAATATTGTGACTATCAGTCCGATGGTCATGAAATATGGTAGGTTGGTAGGAAATTGAATGATGTACAAATGTGTAAAATATCAGGGAGTTATTTCTTAGAATGACAAAGATATTAGGAAAAACTAGGGTTGCCGTTTTTTTGGACCACCCTGTACTAAATTGGCTAAGTAATTACTTCCAAGGGGAGAACTAATCTCTAGATTAGCACAATTCTACACGTTCATGTACAAGTTCTATTAAAACGTGTAGCTTTAACTCCCCATTTATTCATGTAGTACAACATGGAATACATTGTATTTGTAAGTATGAAAACTCTTTATTCATTGGATGGTTTAGTCTTACAATATAGAATGATTGACATAGATTTGATGTGCAAATCTACAACTTTGGTTTGTACTCTTGTCGGATAGCTTTTTTAGATATAATACTGTCTACTCTATATTACAAAACCTCGAACTATAGACACATCGCTCCATTCTAGACTGAATGGACGAGCCAACACAACCATTGATAGATATTGGGACCTTAATCAGATCCAACGGGTCCGCTCTCTTCTTTTCAGATTTCGCCACGTCACTATCTACGTCACGTTTTTGTGGAATGGGAATTTTCTCTGGTACCAAAATCTCCGGGCATATACACTTGCGCGTTTGTGTACACGTTCTGGTGCCAATACATTTGTCAATTGGAATAATTGGCCCAATAGTTATTGGCTCGATTCGGTCCGAAATGCCACGCTTCTTTACTGGTCCTTGGATATCAATAAATCCTCCTCTACAAGCTGTGCACAAACTTGTGGACCAAGGTCCCCAATAACAGCCTGAGATGAACAAATGCATATGACAAGCAAATGATACACAATACGTTTGTAGACTCCTCAAAAAAGTTAGGAACCAGTCTATTTCCACATAGGTTTTCTTTCATTTAAGGCTTAGAAAATAAGAGGTCAAAGATACATGAGGTTTAACATGTTACACTGTGGCTAGTCGATCTATGTGGATGCAGTCAAGCACATGTAATGTTTCGTGAGTACCCGCCTCTGTACTTTTCAATGGAAGAAATTTGCACTTTTGTTTAAATAATCTACATTTATTCATCCGTGTATATCATACTTCATTGATTTACCAAACCAAAGCAACGCTATAAACACACATTCTCTGATAATTTTACAGCGAATAGATAACTCAAACGAGTTCACTCGACCAGTTTTATCACCTCGCTCATAGCTGTGAGAAGGTATGTATAATTGCCATAGGTTTACCTTATAATGGGGAATAAAACATTCAAGTAATATAATTATTTCACGTACACAAATATGTCTGTGTGAAGTAAAATACAAATACAACGCATTTTATAATATTTTTGGGGTTATGGTATGAAATATCCGCTTTAAAAAAGCAATTTAATTATGATGTATCATGTGGATTAGTAGACGTTCTAATTGGATTCAATGAACAGACTGGCTAGGTTTTAATTGAATCATTTTGAATGTGTGTATTTTTAATATTTTACATATATTTCTTAAACGCTCTCATTGGATACATCAAGAAGAAACAAATATGGTTACATATAAACTTGAGTTGGGACAATAATTCAACAAAAATATAATTTTACAGTAGTATATGGTGAATATTTGATGCCCGACGATAATCTGATGTTTACTCAAGATGATGGACATCTTGATTTTATTTTCAATATATATCACAACTATTTAGTAGATGGATCTGGTTGTCGTACAGCCAGTGGAGGAAACTGCCCCAACACGCCACATGTGCGATGAATGCAGCAACCTTTTCAATAGCAAAAGCGCACTAAAAACGCATGGTAAAGAACCATGGCCTCCTCCACCAATGTGCTACTGCAATACTTATAGCGGAGCCTGTGTTGATCAGGACCATTTTTATTAGACTCCAGATGTAAATCTGGAGTCTATAGCTTTTGTCAGTATTCTTCTTCTTCTTTATTCTTCTACACAGGTTTTCTCCTTAACTAGAAGACATTGAGTCAAGTCCTGTATATGGTCAATTTAGGTCCAGTATCTAGTTTCTCGGAAATTGGGTCAATTTTTTATCTAGGTCAAAGGTCAAAAACTAGGTCAAATCTTAAATCTGTCTATTATCTTCGTCGTTATTTATCGAAACAACTTTCTCTTTTTTTCATCATGTAGCTTAGAAACATCCCTTACATTAGTGTGCCATCAGATTTTTGATTACTGTTACCGATTTTGAGATATGGTGTCCGGAAAGTAGGTCAGAACAAAAAATTCTCCAAATTCAACATGTGAGTTATGAAATATGTGTAGAATGATCTCAGGAATCCGAATCTGCAAACCAAATTTGGATCGGACTTCCGGTTCGGAAGTTATTGCGTTTTGAAAGCTCAAAAATCGCTAAATTTGGTGCCCATGTTAAGTCAACGGGAAAAAAAGATTTTTTTGAAGTGAAAAATACAAAATATAGACTGAGTTCAGCTAAATACAATGAAAGCTTTTAACAGAATGGAACCTCAAAAGCCATCTAGCTTCAAAATTTGGACACCAAAATGCCTAGGTCAAAATCTAGGTCAAATTCAAAGCTTTTCCTTATTTTTGCGATTCTGACACTACACCTTAATTATATTCTTCGAAATGGTGTATACATGTAGCCAAGAGTTTGCTAATAGTGTTAGCTTTTTGCCGTCAGAAAGTAATTTGACCCACTTTTGAGATATGGCTTCCGAAAAGTAGGTCAAAATAAAAAGTTCTCCAAATTCAACGTATGAGTTATGAATTAAGGATAGAATTTTCTCAGGAATCTAAATCTGCAAATCAAATTTCGATCCGACTTCCGGTTCGGAAGTTATGGCGCTTTGAAATTTCGAGAAAAAATCGATCTGATGATAACCTTATAGAAAGTCAAGAAAAGTGAAAAAATTGAAAAAATACCTTTCCAGTCCATTTCCAGGTTCAAGTCAAGGTCCAGTCCAGGTTCAAGTCCAGTGTTTATCCAGGTCCAAGTCAAGTATAGGTCCAAGTCCAGTCCAGGGCCACGGTCAAAATCTAGGTCAAATTCAAAGCTTTTCCTCATTTTTTCGATTCTGACACTACACTTTAATTATATTCTTCGAAATTTGGTATATATGTAGCCAAGAGTGTGCTTATAGTGTTCGCTTTTTGCTGTCAGAAAATATTTTGACCCACTTTTGAGATATGGTGTTAGACAAGGTGCATTTTCATCTAGAGGAAATGTGGTAGGCGTTTAGTGTTAAAAGTGTTCTGACAAGTGTTTCTTATGTAACTTTTTATGCTGAATCCAAAAAACCATGTTGGCAAGCTGAAATATGATTATTTAACCCTTAAAATACCATGTTAGTCCCCCTACCCCCAAAATTCACCCCTATGAGGGGGAAAAAATTCGTCAACCTAAAATAACTTTGATTTTATGGCTTTTGTAAGTGAAATACATGGACATTGTATAAAATAAACATTTAAAGTATGAATGATACGGATTACACTAAAGAAATTTGAATAAAAGCAAAAAGTATGTACCCCAGGGGGCAAATTTATGACCCATTTTTTACTTTTCGTGTCATAACTTTTTTATTAGACAATGATGGATGCTAAAAAAATCCATGTAAAAGGCTTAATACCCGGTCTACTAATCCTGCAAGAATCAAAGTAATTCCTTTGATAATTGCCTTGAAAAAAATAAGTGAATTTAAGAAAAAATGACATCTTAGCTGGGACTGATTTTATGTGTGACTATAACTGATCCCTATTGCTTTAACATTTGTCCCTCTGTGTTCATATATTTGGCATTTTAGAATAAATCTAAAATATAAAACTTATTTTAGCTAAGTTTTAGGAAGATTTAAGCTTTCTAGCATGTTCAAATATTAAAAATTCATGAAATATGATGTCTAAAATTGATAAGTTATAGGTATACCCTTGGAAGACCCCTATAATTTCTTATCTATGAACATATTTGTACCAATATTAGTTTTCTAGCTTAGACAAATAATGTATGATATATCCTGGCTTGGCTTTCTGGTAGTTTGAACAATCTTAGGTGTTATCATTGAAAATTCATTCTTAAATCATAGGTCTGCAATCGATTAAATTCAAGTATACCATTAGCCTAGTATCATTCTACTGGTACAGGGTGTCCAAAAAACAGGACCGAAGAAAAGTTAGTTAACTTTGTCAATCCTGCATATTCTGCCTCAAAACTTCAGAATTATTCAGTTCATTCAATATGAATTTTGTTGTGAAAGTTTCATGATAATCTGCCTGTGGAGTCAAAAACTACAGCACTTTACAACATATGTCCAATGTGGCCACTTCTCCTCTACATGTACAATCAAATCTGGCGAAGGAAGTTGTTCAATTGTCCATGGCGTGACTAAAATCTATCTAGAGAAGTAAAACTAGTGTCAGACAAATTCTCAGATGTTCTTCAATTTTAAGTGGATAGCTTCATCAGAAGCTTTGCAATCCATGTTGGTATGTGTAGGAGAGTCATCAACAGCTTCGTTGGCTGGAGTGGTGGCCACATGGGACATGTGTCGTAAAATGCTGTGGTTTTTTACTTTATAAGCAGATTATCATTAAATGTTCACAACAAAATCCACATTAAATGAAGTAAATAATTCTGAAATATTAAAGCAAAATATGAAAAATTGCCCAAAATAATCAACATGAACAAGCTATGATTTCATAGATTAGTTTGATGTATGACATATTCCGAGCTGACTCTCTGTTTATTTAAACCATCTAAGAGGCTTAATCATTGAAAATCATTACAAATAAAGGTCTAAACAGACAGTATTAAGGTACACTATTAGAATACCCTAATTATTTCCAGGCTTAGAGTTTATTGGTACCTACTACTGTTTCATAGCTCAGAGGTTTAATATATGATATATCCTGACTAGTTTTTCTGCAGATCTGAACCAATGACAGGTCTAATCATTGATTATACTTCATATACTAGGTCTAAAATTGAAGTATTCAATAGAACCCTCTATGAAAATTCAAAAAAAGATTTAAAATGACATTAACCTCGACATTAGATCTGAATAAGGATTAAAATCCTTCGTAGAGCTGAACAGGGAAAACAAGGCTAACTTCATTCTGGTGTTGATACATGGACCTGGTCCAAATCTTGCTATACTTCATCCAAGCCCAAAGAAAGGGAAATTAGGAGCTTCATCTCAATGCATTTCAATGCATGATCCCTTATTTCATGACCACCAAAATTATGGAAGATGTGGCACAGTAAACTTAGAGGAAATGCACTAACTATTAGAATATAGTACCTGCTGCAGTTGAGCGAGGATTCTTGCATTGAACTATGTTGTAAAAGGCTCTACAAATTCAATCAACCAAGTTGATTGACCCCTATGCCAGTATGCTATTGGTTAGAAGGGTGGCAGAATTGTAGGCATAACACAAAGACAATATCTGCATTGAACAGATGGGCACTGGGGTATAATCTTAGGTCACACATGGGGAGTCCAAACAAGAATGATGTTTGGACTTGCTTTTTGAGATTCCATAGAGGGGGGGGGGGGGTAATTTGCAAATCAAAACAAGAATCTATGGATATATAAGCACAAATGCCAAAGGGAAGGGTGACTAAAAACATTAAAGAAACCCAACAAGAAAAGCAAACCGCAAGTGCAAATCTGTCATAAGAAAAGTAGACCCTATATATCCCAAAAACATAATCTAAAGTGAAAAGAAACAAATGTCTAACATCCCCCTCCCCCCTCCAATCGAGAACCAATATCACAATCCAGGACCAGAACACCAAGGGACATTTCATTCATACTGAAGTCATTACAATACATGTTGAAGAAAAATTGAAAAAATTGATAGCCAATACTAATAACATCAAAAATAGTTGTAGATACTAGTACTCATAAAAGATTATTCAGAGTATTCTGTCTCTGGAAGAAGATAAAATATGTGACATGCTGCTGAAGTTTGGCATGTTAAGTATATGTACAAAAGATGTACTCACAGAAACAATCAACAGGCTCGACAGTTTGGCCAACAACTGGATGTCTTTGTGTCTTAGAGGTTGATACCAACAGGGTCAAATGAAAGACACAACATTTCTTGATCTACTGAGCAAGCACCAACATTTTTTAAACTATATGCTTAATCCCAATATAAACGAGCAGAAAGTTGTTAAGGCAGACAGGAATGTTTTGCAGAATCTTATCACTGCATATGAAGCTAACCACAGACCTGTGGGCATCAATGAAATCATGAAACATGAGCTGATGTCTTTTCCAATAGCCCTCTCATTGACGAATGAAACATTCAAGCCAACTCAAATGTACTCTACTCCTTAACTGTTTAACAAATGGTATTGAAATGCCAACCGTAATATTTCCAATATATGATCCTTCTTTCAAATTAGCATCAATTGCATCTACATCTGAGGATTTGGCCACAGTCTTCAAGGAAGCAAAACTTCAGCAGTGAAGTGTACTGTGCCCAATCTTGCATACTTTTGGTGGTCATATCTCATGAAAAAGGGGATCATGCATTGAAATACATTGAGATGAAGCTCCCAATTTCCCTTTCTTTGGGCTATGGTGAAGCGTATCAAGATTTGGACCATGTCCATGTATTATTACCAGAATATAAAAGTAATCCTTGTCTTCCTTGTTCAGCTCTATGAAGAATTGTAATTCTGATTTACAAGAGTGATCCGAGATCACATCAATCAGTTGCTTTATTTGATTTCCAGATCCAATGTTATGGTTAATGTCATTCTGAATCTTTTTTGAATTTCCCATATATGGTCCTATTGGATTTAAATTTCAAAAATTGCTACTCTGCAAAAACTCTCATTATCTGAAACATCCCACTAATTCAAAATGTTGTCAAAGTGAGTATACGCCATTTGTCAAGAATTTGCCAAGAGTAACACAGAAAGGTTAATGGGGACAGTGGGGGAGGGGGGGGGGGATTTTTTAATATGACTTAACATTGTTCAGGGAAGAAAACTCCATAAAATGAAGATTTGTATGAATCATTGGTACTTTTGCTCTCACGTCATGCAATTGTCAGGCTGCTTAGAATGAAATTAGCCTTGTCTTCCTAGTTCAGCTCTATGAAGAATTGTAATTCTGATTCAGATCCAGTGTTGAGGTTAATGTTATTCTGAATCTTTTTTGAATTTATCATAGAGGGTTCTATTGAATACTTCAATTTTAGACCTAGCATATTAAGTATATTCAATGATTAGACCTGTTAGGTGGTTCAAATCTGCAGAAAAACTAGTCAGAATATGTCATATATCAAACCTCCAAGCTATGAGACAGTAGTAGGTACCAGTATACTCTAAGCCTGGAATTAATAAGGGTGTTCTAATAGTCTACCTTAATATTGTCCGTTTAGGCCTTTATTTGTAATGGTTTTCAATGATTAAGCCTCTTAGATGGTTAAAATCACCAGAAAGTCAGCTTGGAATATGTCATGCATCAAACAACTAATCTATGAAATCATAGCTAGTTCAATTATGCTCATACCAGTAGAATGATACTAATGGTATACATGAATTTAATCGATTGCAGACCTATGATTTAAGAATGAATTTTCATTGATAACACTTACAGAAAGCCAAGCCAGGATCATATCATACATGATATCATACATCATTTCTCTAAGCTAGAAAACTAATATTGGTACAAATATGTTCATAAATAAGAAATTATAAGGGTCTTCCAAGGGTATACGTATAACTTATCAATTTTAGACATCATATTTCATGAATTTTTAATAGTTGAACATGATAAAAAGCTTAAATCTTCCCAAAACTTTGCTAAAATAAGTTTTATATTTTAGATTTATTCTAAAATGCTAAATATATGAACACAGAGGGATAAATGTTAAAGCAATAGGGGTCAGTTATAGTCACACATAAAATCAGTCCCAGCTAAAATGTCATTTTTTCTTAAATTCACTAATTTTTTTCAAGGCAATTATCAAAGGAATTACTTTGATTCTTGCAGGATTAGTAGACCAGGTATTATGCCTTTTACATGGATTTTTTTAGCATCCATCATTGCCTAATAAAAAAGTTATGACACGAAAAGTAAAAAATGGGTCATAAATTTGCCCCCTGGGGTACATACTTTTTGCTTTTATTCAAATTTCTTAAGGGTAATCCGTATCATTCATACTTCAAATGTTTATTTTATACAATGTCCATGTATTTCACTTACAAAAACCATAAAATCAAAGTTATTTTAGGTTGAAGAATTTTTTCCCCCTGATAGGGGTGAATTTTGGGGGTAGGGGGACTAACATGGTATTTTAAGGGTTAAATAATCATATTTCAGCTTGCCAACATGGTTTTTTGGATTCAGCATAAAAAGTTACATAAGAAACACTTGTCAGAACACTTTTAACACTAAACGCCTACCACATTTTACAGAGAGACCTTTTGCAAAAAAGCACCCGGTCTATGTCTGAAAAGTAGGTCAAAATAAAAACTTCTCTAAATTTAACGTATGAGTTATGAATTAAGGATAGAATTTTCTAAGGGATCTGAATCTGCAAACCAAATTTCGATCCGACTTATGTTATGGCGTTTTGAAATTTCGAGAAAAATCGATCTTATGGTATCCTGATAGAAAGTCAAGAGAAGTGAAGAAAATGTTGAAAAATCCACCCAGCCTTCCACCCATCCTTCCTATCTTATCCTTCCTTCTATCTATCTTTCCTTCATATCTTTTCCTTCCTATCCTATCCTTCCTATTCTATCCTATCCTTTTTTCCTACTCTATCCTATCGTTCCTTCTTATTCTATCCTATCCTTCCTATCCTATCCCATGTTATCCTATCCTATCCTTCTTATCTATCCTTCCTATCCTTTCCTTTCCTTCCTATTCTATCATTCCTTGCTATTCTATTCTATCTCATCCTTTCCTATTCTATCCTATCGTTCCTTCCTATTCTATCCTATCCCTCCTTCCTATTTCATCCATCCATCCATCCATCTTTTTCTGGATGACTCAGTTTATTCTGGATGACTCGGCTTATTCTGGATGACTCGGCTTATTCTGGATGACTGGGCTTAAAAAAGTCTAGATCTGGAGTCTGAAATTGAACTTGTTCAATTTCCAAAGTCTATTTATATTTTATTATCATAAGAATTAAAAGTAAAAATGAATGAAGTCTTACCTCAGAAACTTCCCATGAAACAGACGAAAGCCCATGAACCAAAAGTATTTAGTTTCCTTTCTGTATCTTACTTGTTTGGCACATGGAGCGGTGAAATAGTCCACAGTGTCCAAAAACAATAATAATCCATTCCACTTACCACGATTTCAAAAAATTTCAAAAAATTGTAAATAGATGATATAATTCTTGAATTTGGGTCATTTGTTTCAAGGAATCTGTAGGCTCTTTCAGCTGAGCTGACAAAATCACCAAGATTTACAGATGGTCCATTGCTCATTGTCACTTTCAAGGAATGTTAATGGCTCTGAAACTTGATCTGTGGGTATTTCAGTGGGTTGATGGTTCTTGGGCTCTGAACTCACTTGATTGGCGTACCTAATTTCAACATCTTCATTGTCATCATTACATGTTATGGACCCGTTTTTCAAATTAACAGTATTAGGGATGAAATCATAGTTTTTCCTTCTGTAATGGCATTTTCCAGTTGACGGGTCTATATAAAGTCTATCAATTTTCAATTCTTCATGAGGGTGTATTGTAATGGTGTGGCTAATTACTTCACTGAATAGGGAATGTTTATCCGAACAATGGATACAAAGAAAATCTGGCCAGTTGTCCATCTGTGAATAAATCATCATGATAAAAGCATAATTTATTATAGCATCCATTTGTTACCGTTCTGAATCCAAATGATACATAGTTGAATCCATTTGATACATATATGTTGACGTTTACGAAATGTTGTTCAAATATCTTCCCTATAACAGGAATATGCTAGCTGAAACTTTCACACATTGTCATACTATGTATATTGAATATGTATGCAAGATTTCAAGTCAATACGTTAAGTAGAAACTCTGAGATCACTTACCTCGATTTTCTGTCATATTTTTTCAACGACCCCATTCACTATAATGTACGCGAGAACCCACGAAACATTGCATATACATGACTGCATCCACATTGATCGACTAGCCACAGTGTGTTAACATATGAGGAAAAAGACTGGTCCTTAACTTTTTGAGGAGTATAAATAAGAAACAAGATACCTATGTTGTTGGACAATTGTACATCTACATTTGTGAACATACTGTAAGAAAGGTTGGTACTGATAACTATAAATGTTTATATAGAATACGATGATGCATATTACAACAACCACTAATGTCTATATAGCGGTGTATACCATTAGTAAATTGTTCATACGATTTATAATTGACTTACATTTAGGTGTGAAACATATTTTATTGAAAGTTTCGCTCTGTGATTGAAAATTTGGTGTGCAAAACTTTCCTTGTCTGTTCCTTGTCCTTCTACATTGAATTGAGCCTCCACCACATTTAGGGCAAAGGGGGCAACTCTCAACCCATCTGCTCCAAACCGACCAAATACAACCTGTAAGTGGCATGTACAAGTGAAGTCCAAGAACTACAATACGCAGCAATATTTTTATATAAGCGATCAAATCTGCTGTATATAATTATTTTGCCCCAGTCACATCAGAGAGTTTTCATTACGTCCATGAATTCGAAAATGATGCCAAACCAAACTATGCGCAAATAGATTGGACTTAGTTGGAACATTATACTGGATAATAACTTCTTGGATTTGCTCTTACTAGACAGTACTCTAGAATTTCTAGACAATCTAATCATGTTGTGCAATTGTTATATACTAAAATGCATAAGAACTGAAGGCCGTACACCAATTCTTCTAGAATCGGATGTATAATTACGTTGGCCACCCAGGCATCAATTGCAGTGTATCAATATAGAAGTCAATCAAGGACACTATTACAATTACTTTCTGAAAGCACCGTTGACGAAATGAGGACTTGGTTAGAACATGGACTTTCTTTCTCTTGAAAGTCCATAGTTAGAAAGGGTGACTGCCTGTGACCAAGGTCGATGAGTAGAAAAAGGTTTGGAGGGGTACTGGGAATGAGGTGGAACTATCTAGTAAATAAGGAGTTTAAATTGACCATAGACTGTCCTTCCAAAACAACTACATGAAATGGAAACCCGAATTTCATTTGGATAAAACTGGGTGAAATACAAGCCAATTTAACAGACTTAGCATACTTACAGGGTGGAGTATCGCATTTCCTACTTATAGACTCTAACTCTGTTTGAAAGTTTGGTTCGCAATTTGGTCCTCTTCTTGACCTTGACCTCACGCAGGTCACCGCTCCACCTCCGCACTTTGGACAAGCTGGACACTTGTAGTCACTCCAGGCACTCCACTCCAACCATACACAACCTGAACAAAGCAGAACAACTAAGCAATGAGGTGTCGTAAAACGTTCCTTGGCGTCTTTCGATCAGTAGGAATTTGTAGTTTCTAAAGTGATGACTTGGAAATCTTTTTTACCAGCAAAGTATGAAAGATAATATATCATAAACGTACATGGGGGGTGGTCACAAGGTTGTCTGTACGTCTCTGTTTGAGTTTGAAAATCTGGTTCGCAGTTTTCTCCCTTTCTTGTCCTAGTACGTTTGCATATTACAAAACCTGGTCCGCACTTTGGGCAGAGTGGACACTGGACATTCCATCTACTCCATTGACCCCACACACATGGTTTCTCATCTGAAAGTTCAAATTATTATTACTTGAGTCATCAGATCCCATCATATTTACGATGTCAGTTTGATTTACTGATTATGACACAAAAGTTAGGATTATATTTGATAGATCAGGCTCATTGCACTGTGTATCCTTCTTAATAATTACCCTCAACACAGCCACATTCATGGTGACTGAATACTTTGAATACTTGACCCTTGGGGCACCAGCGTTCTATAAAGTCCCCATCAGGAATGTCTTGGCTGGAATAGCTACTCCCACCAAAAGGCCAATACCAAGTACTGTGCATACAACACATGAATGCTGGGTTGCCTCCATATCTAGGGTCAGTTCTCGGTGGACAATAATCTGAAACAATAAACTTCGCTGAGTCATAGTGCCATTTATTTCCTCCTGTTGTTCCAAGTGGCCTGTGTTTTATCTTTACTGTTCCCACTAAGAATAAATGTAAGGACAACAACGAGCAAGGAAGCAATACCAGACAACGAGTAGCATTATTGAATTTAAAACGCGAAGAATCCTTCATTTTGTAACAAGATTGAAAAATAACCACGTTACCTTTATATTATTCAAACCAAGAGTGAAAATAAAATTTTGTTTAAACAAAAAACACCTGTTGTTATAATCAGCGCTGATCTATTCCGATTAAGAAATATAATAGGAATGTTTCCAGGCTTATTTGTCTGAGATAGTACAAAAGATTATATCATTGTTGATTTCCAGGACGTACCTTTACCAATGATGCAAGTCCCATTGCACCTGATGTATCCAGTTTTACAGAAACAACCTTCTCTGGGAGGTGTATTACAATATGTTTGGTCCCTTTCCAAACACTTCCTCTCACATCCCGGACCATTGGCCAGATATTCTTCATTTTCCCCACATTCCATTTCTACAATGAATTTCTTTGAAATTCAGATGAATTTATATAAACATGTTTGAACCTCTTGGCCGTACGTAATATCTGCCGGAAATGATTCATGCCTTTGCTCAATCCTTTTTTGTTCATATCAATTTATACTTTAACATGAGTGTTACTTTAACATGAAGGTATGAACGACTTTTAGAATAAAAAAGCAATGCAGGATTATTGTATATGATTTTCCGCCAAAGTTGGAATTTATTGATACATACATGGTCAACTTTGGGATAAAATTACAACTTTATTGTTAGGAAAAGACTGTGCTCTATATGCTTTATCTAATCACACTATATTATACTATACCATATTTAGCATATTTAGTATACAAGTATAATTTACTCAGACTTACGACAATCAAATTCTTCCCTCCACATAGGAGTATCAACTCCCTCTTGCTTACATGCCTCAGCAAATTTGGACACAATATCACATATGTTCTCGGGATTATCACAGTGATCAACCATGCAGTCTTTAACAAAATTCTCGAGAAATGCATCCGACATCCTGGAATTAGAAGACTAGTGCAAGTATCAACAGAAAACGTACTGAAGAGTGAAGAATCACTAATATTGTGTCCTTCGTGTGAAATGAGGAAGGGAATCCATCGTCGACATTATGCTGCACCTTTTTAAGATCAAATAATGTTGAATATAAGTAGCTTGGTCGACAAAAAGATGCAAATGCCGGTGTGTTTAGTATAGATAAAGATGTTGTCCATTGACTATTTTTCCACTTCAAACTAAAAATTACTGGGAATTATGAAGTCATACAGTCCACTAAATGTCTTATTTCTTTCGACTTAGTCCCTCTGATTTAAACTCAATCTGGTTACCCAAATATGTCACTTACCTTCCAACGCATTCTGCAAAAATACCATCTGGATTGACTACCTCTTGACATATAACTTTAGCTTCCTCCATTTCCTCATCGGTCTTGCACGGATTGGGAAGATCATCGTTCAGGCTACTGTCACACCTGAAATCAAGGGCATATTTACGTAGAGTAAAACCTGCGAAATTGAACACCTCTGAACGTGGAACACTTTTCACATTCACTGCGATCCACTGTCTCAGTATCTGAGGTATTGTTTTTCGAAACCCCTCTGAGATGGACACCTAAGTATAACACTGGTATTCCACTAGCCCATACCAGATTTTACTTAAATGTGGGAAATATAAGTAAGATGAATTCACAAATGTCCCCCATCACTTGGATCCCAGAAATATTTTTTATAGAATATAATTTGTTTTAACTAATAGAACTAATACAGTCTTTACCTAAAAGAATGTCTACTGGTTAGTACGTTTTGAAGAACGTCATTTTCTTACCTTGGATCCTCGGGATCAAGTACTTGGTAACTATCTCCAAGCAACGTCCCCTTATTTGGTTGCCCAGTAAGATCAGTTCCAGAGGCATCCGAGCAATCATTAGGCTGGTTATCATCAAAGTTCTTGCACAATCCGTCAACCTGCACGAACATATGGCAACTTTTAAGCGGACGAATAAATCGAAGTGTTTGGAGATTACAATTAAACTTCTCCCTTAGTGTATTGGGTAAGCGTACAATTTAATATATCCATTTATAGTTGTTCATCGCATTATTCTTATTCATGATATATTCTATTTATCGTAAATGTTTTGTTTTCATATTGGTAATTGTAAGTCACTGAGAACAGTGCATAGTCTATCAAAATACATAATTCTAATAAATATATAAAAGTCAACACTGCTGCTGGAGAATGTGATTAATGAATTCCCATTCTAAAACTAGCTATTGTGATGAAAAACAGGTCTATGTAGGTAAAAATAGTTTTACATTCGTTTTATATTCATATTTCAACATTCCCCCGACTAGAAAATTAACCTAGATATATTAACAGATTAAATATACCATGTCCATCCACTGTCTCCCAAGTGAAACGCTGATGCCATAACGGAATACTATATTCAGTGACATCACTGGACAGTTAAACAGTATGTTTGCACCACTGACATCAATGGAGTAAAAGGCAGTATTATAAGGAAATGTAGTCACGGGTATTGAGTTGACCTGTAAACAAATCATATATATTATGATGATATCATACATTGACCGATTAATTAAAGTATGAATAAGGTAATACTTAAAGTTTGAGCCCAAGGTAATTGGCTTTCTATCAAACTGTATACTAATGTGGTACTTTTATTTTGTGTTTGATGAAAAATAGTACTAGTATATGTTTGAATGTACAAAATAAAATAAACAGTGTATTGTTTGATGAAACTACAATACTGAATATGTATATAGGAACTTTAATAGCTGCAACACAAATGCTTTATTTAGTCATTCAATTAACCTTATTTATTTACAAACAATAACTGTCTCCATTCTTTGTTGTTAAGCAAAACGCAGCAATAAAGTGACAGCTGACAACAAAAGTGTCATTTTGAATTGTTTATGATAAAGCAGACATCACAAAAGGCAGAAAACATCCTTGAATAAACATATGGAGACAAAAGAATTGAATCTATTGTCATCAAGTACCTTAACATTTGTTCCTGGTCCAAGGCGTATGACGTCGTTGCCTACGTAAACATCTGCATACCTTGTGACTGACACAGAGCTGGTGGGTGATGTGCGAACATTCTTCACTTCAATCTGAAATAGAAACGTGGTCGTTACTTGAAGATACCTAAAAATACACGTTTGGAAGCGCAGCTTATGACATTTTCCTAGACCACTTGGTTAGATTGGCAACTTGGCAACCACCCCCCCCCCCTTAAAAACCTCAGAAACGTCAGAAAAAAACATGCGCATCCTGCCAGCCTGGTGATACTACAGGGTGATCAAAAACCGGAAACCCTGTATTTTCCTTATTTCTTTGTCATTTTAGAAACTTATTCCCGGGTATTTGACACATTTGTAAATCATCCAATTTCCTACCACTCTACTAAATTTCATGAACATCAGACAGCTGATAGTCACAATTTAACAGCACTTTGAGTAACATGCTTCAGGGTTGGCCATCATCGCACAGTAGACAAAACAGCACAGTTCCCAACAACCTGAATGAATTCCTCAGCCGGTATGGCCTGAATGACATGGATGATATCACTTTTGAAGTTTGCAATTGTCCTAATGTCATTCTCATATACCCTATGTCTGCCAAATCCCCACAGGTAGGGACATTTTAGATGACGAGTACAGGTTTCCCGACAACGCAACAGTGGCAACCGGGACATGTTCTTTAAAGTACTGTAACATTGTGAGTATCAATCTGATGGTCATGAAATGTAGACTGGTAGCAAATTGAATGATGTACAAATGTGTAAAATATCAGGCGTTGTTTCTTTAAATGCCAAAGATATAAGGAAATGGTATGAGGGTTTCCATCGTTTAACCACCCTGTATATACGTGTACCTAATGGTCCTTATAAAGTAAGGTAATGAATTCATGGTGACTGTCCAATAAAATGGGGCCAGAAGTAATTGCAAATAATTACATCGGGAACATGTGACGTTTACCCACATACCTTGAATGCCCCATTGAGCGCCCTAACGAGAGTGTATTTGCAGTCGCCCTGGAAGTCATAACGTAAGCCATCAAATGTTGTGTAATGGGGGTCGCCCCATCCACTACATGTTCCTGGCTTGGTATGGGGCTCTGAAATATTTAAAACATACAATAAGGAAATGAAGAGAAAACATTAAAGACAATCTTATGAACACTATGTACATGAATTGTCTATCCAATACTACATTCAAACGACGATAAAGAAATCATGAATCTCTAAAATGTTGACTCTTAATTGTGAAAGCGACTGTCCTAGCATGAAGTGATCAGATTTTTACATGAACCATACAAAAATAACAAAAAACTATAATTTTTAGATTAACATTTGGTACAATGTAAGTATAGGGCGTCCCTTGAATTACATACGTGAGCATTCAATCTTGCTGCATTTAAACATCTGTGTTTCTATGCTGGGCCCTTCACATGGCTTTCCTCCACCCTGTGCTGGTATTTTTCCCCTTGTCCTAATGCAATGTTTCTGACAGCATTTGTCACATTCCGTACACTTGCCCCAATCTGTCCACTGTTTCCATTTGCAACCCACTGAAACATTATAACAACATTTAAAGGAACATAAGACAACATTTATCGGATTTTAAAACAACATATCTATCGCATGAAATATTTTTCTTTAGCAATGAATAGTTGGCCTTTTGGTTGGTAAGACAAATACTGACAACATCAAGATAATAATCATTCAGTCTCAAACACAGACTATTGTTTCAAGTAGAACTTGTTAATCCAAATTCTTACCTGGTATCCAAGCGCATTTTTTCATACATGCCCTAAATTCTGACCCTCCTAATTCTGCTATACATTCTTTCCAACAGACACCGTCCACCTTTGCTCCCTGAATTAAAATTTTGAAAAAACGTTATGTCACGATCGACAAAATTTCTATTCTGGCAATGTTCGCAAACTATCATCAAGTAAATTTTCTATTACATTGTTAGCTCATTGCCCATTTGTTAAAAAGACACCGAATGACATGTAATTACATTGAAAATGCAAATGAACAGTTTGTCAACCTTCTCTTCTCGGGAGTCCTTCAATTCTTAGTTGTATAACTTAAAATAACTTAAGTAAATTATGTTAAGTTCATTTATCCAACCTACCTTTGGAATCTTACACCAACCATTGCACTTCCTTTTATTGAATCCCGCTGCTTTACATTTTTTCACACAGTCGGGGTAAGCCTTTCCTTTTGCGGCTGCGAAGTGATCTAAAAATTCAAAATATCATACAGTATCTAGGGATTGACCAATTATGTAGAATATTAATGTATTCTTCATCTTCCACTTTGTTTATATCAGTGTTTATTTTTTAAGTTTGATTGATGAACAGAAAACGTGTTTCGGATTATACATGAAATGAAATTTAAAGAAATAGATATGCCACTCACCTACTATGGAGATTAAAATAACAATTCCTAAAAGTATCTTTACTTTCAACATCGTTGGAGTGATGTCTATCTCTGTAGTTTCTGAGTTTCTACATCAAGAAACTTCCCTATATGGTTTATATAGAAAAACTCGAATTGAAAATAAAAACAAACAGGATATTTTGTTCGCAAATTGAGTGAATTCATAACAATAGCGGACAGGTGCGATTATAATAGTGTTTTATCCTTTCTATGTTGTATGGCTTGTTAATTGTTTATCTATTTTAATTAATTAGTTCAAATATGAAAGGATTGAGTGTATGAGGATCTGCGCGAGTTTTATTTGCAATAACAACAGTACCAATGTACTTTAATCACCGAAGACTTCAAAAGGATTGCTATACTTGTCCTTGGTATTAACATATCACTATATCATTCAGAAGAAAAGAAGCTAGAGAAAGTAGAAACACAATATAGTTGGTTCCTTATTTGGTATCATCCTTGGTACATTGTTGATAGGGATAGAATTCAATATGAAATAATTCGTCAGTTTTGCAAGCCATGATACTCTCTGCACTTCTTTGATTTACAATATTTCTTAGTACATCATTTCATTACTTAGAGATCAAGGTATAAATGTATGTGGCGTATATATTAAAATTTATGAAAAAAAGATTATTACAAACTTTTGCAAAAATGCTCATTTCTAATGCATTGACATAGACTTTAGTCATGACATTTCATTTACATTTTTTTGAGTTTTCCCCTTTGGGCCTGTGTGTTTTCATAGGCTATACATGTAGTTTTACAAAGAACGACAGAATCATATAATGTTTTTTACAGATACATGTATCTAATTACCTAATTACCCTCCCGGTGGAAAAAATGAGGTACATGAAGTACGTGTGAAGTGTGAACTATGACTCACTTTATTCAATTGTTATTCAATTGTTCTAAATATCTGAGTATTATTATTAATTCATCACAGAACACCATCAATAGCAATGTTGCATTGTCATCAACGAGCCAATTAAAAATAACTTCCTCATTGGTATTCCATCAGAAAATTTCTGTTGATAATCGTGATTGTGCAATTTCAATGTACATTGTCCTTTCTATTGCGGGTCAAAAATGGCTTTGTATAAAAAAAAACTCCTACCTCATACCCGCCTACCCACGTACGTGGGACATGATATTGTCTTTGAAGGGTCTTAAATCTTAAAGGGTTTATTAAATCTTAGTTTATGATGAATTATAGTTGCATTTGTAACGATCCTTGATAGCAAGTTGCTAAGTTACATCCCAGCTGGGTTCGATTTCCACTCGGGGCATCGAATTTAGCACACTTTCTTTCAATGTCTTTATCTGTCTTGTTGGACCTATGCTCGCGGTTGTTGGTTATTTATTCCCCTGGGGCACCCTCGAGTCATTACACATTAAAATGCGTCCATATGCCTTTATTTATGGATCTGTCATCTGTCTAGTCATAAAATAAAGCTGGAATTGTAGAAATATTAATAATTTGAGCTATTTTGAGATTTAATAATCTTTAAAATTGAACCCTTCGATGATTGTATCATGCTCCACTATAGGTGGGTGGGTGGTTATGAGGTAGGAGGTTTTTTATACAAAGCCGTCAAAACACGTGTATGATAATCAGATTATAATTTAACCAAAACGGCTATTAGCCACAGTTTGTGACTCCCAATCAGGGCTCGTGGATGTATCCACGCCGAATGTTTTCTGAGGATAAAGTTAGCATATGGAATTCGAAATATATATAAATAAATTATATTTAAACTGGAATGAGAAAATAAATGACCTTGAAAAAACATTAGATTCTTGGAAAAAACGCTACCTTACTTTATTTGGAAAAATCACTATTATAAAGTCTTTAGCCATATCAAAACTTGTATATTCAGCATCTATTTTATCATTTAAAGAAGAAATTATTAAACGAATTAACAATTTAATATACAACTTTTTATGGGATGGGAAGAAAGACAAGATAAGACGAACTATTGTAATAAACTCTATAGACAGTGGAGGTCTAAACATGTTAGATTTTCAATCACAGCTAAATGCTCTAAAAGCTGTATGGATTAGTCGTATATATGACAAAAAAAACACATTTAATAAAATTCCGTACTTTTATTTTAGCAAACTGGCTCCGAATATGGACATTTTATTAAAAATGAATGTTTTCTCTAATGAGCATCTTGATAGACTGCCTGTGTTCTATAAACAAGTTCTAAAAGCATATAATAGTTGTAAAGACCATGATATAATCAATAAATTAAAACACCATGAAATAATCCAACAAACCATATGGAATAACAGATTATTTCAATTGAAAGGCAAACCACTTTTCTTCAAATCTTGGATAGATAGTGATATTATCTATGTCAAAGATCTCATAACTCAAAATGAATTTTTAAATGTTAACTATATTTTTGAAAAGTTAAAAAATAAAAAAAATTGGATTTCTGAATATTTTCAAGTCCTAACTGTAATGAAATCAATAAAATGCTTTATTAATATAGAACAAGTAAAATTCACAAATATACCAAGAAAACCCAACTTTAAAGTAAAAAACATCCAATTAGACTTTAGAGGTAAAAAATCCAATTTCTTTTATACAATACTGAAAAATAAAAAATCTGAAAAATGGTTTACCTACAAGAAATGGGAAAGAGATTTTTGTATAACAAATGAAGGTAAAATAGATGAAATAAATTGGCCAAATTTTTTTACTAGCAAGATAATAAAAGTTAAAGACAAAAAAATTGCCAATTTTAACTTCAAAATAATTAACAATATTCTTCCTGGATTAACTGACTTATTTCTCTATGGGATAACAGATAATTATCATTGTAGTATTTGCAATAATTTATGTGACTTGAAACATATTATTTTTGAATGTTCCTTAGCAAAAGATATATGGGCACTGATACATAAAACATGTGGCCTTAATATTTCTTACAGAAAAATTATAATTGGTTATAATGGCCATGACTCACATACACATTTTTTAAATTATTTTATCAGCATTGTTACAAACAGTATTTATAAATCATATATTTTAGAATTGAATAGTAAAAAACAAAGAACATTTGAAAGCATGATTTCATTGATAAAATATGAAATTAATTACAGAAAAAATGTATTTTATTGTTCAAAGTGGAATTTTGTATCAAAACTATTAAAATGAAAATTGTATGAATTATCTACTTTATGTCATTGTTTATGTTATGTAAAATAACCAAAAGTTGAATAAAGACTATTTTAAAAGAAAAAAAAAATAAATAAATTATATAAAGTAGATCGTGGTTGTGAAGGCCTATGTTTTGATTCGTGTGTTTAACAATATCCTGTCATATCAATTTTTCTGGGCAGCAGCAAGATTTCTCCGCTATGGGGAATCACGTTATTTTGATAAAGATACATGTACTAGATAGTATTAGAAAATCAACTCAGAAAAACAATACTAGGAGCGATTAAAGCCGGTGTAAAAGGGTAGGTGGTCCTTTCAAATTTTGGTCCTACTCTCTAATGATTTATATGGTGACCTAATTACAATTATTTTCCTTATTGTTTATACACAGTCAGGGCCAGTAAGGGCCGTAAGGAAAGGGGACCATAATCCCCGGGGGACCATAATTTCTTTTACACCAGCGCTAGCGCAAGGGAGTTGTTTCTTATTTGTGTCACGAGACCAAGCCTCGATCATTTTTCAACTTTCTTCGACTCCATTACCTTCCACATTTTAGAGGAACTTAGTTTTAGAATTACCTGCCAGTATAAAACAAATATAGAGAGATCTTATTCGGGAGAACTGAACGTAAACGTGTAATAGTTTGACTCCGGCAATCGTTATTCACCCTCAAATGGTAGAAACGGGGCCTTGATAATTATTTTCTCACACCTTCATACTTAATCAGGCAAATAAAATTCACCCTCTTCATTATGGCGGCATCCAACAACAAACGATCAACTCTGGATCATTTTGACGTAGTTGGTCGGACTAATTTTTAGGCAACCTTTGGCAACTGTACTTTGGCTCATCATACAACGGAAAAATGAACTTATACTTGTATTGGACTTGAGTAAAATTTGTTTCCATTAATATGCATGTATGTAGGTTGTACATCGTCGTTGTTGGTTGTATGTTCGTATGCGGAATCGAAGTACGCTTTCGGAAAGCTTTGGACGGCTTCGGAAGCATTCACAAACTTGATATTCGGTTCGCATGTTTACGTTCCAAATCGCCAGAATTGACAATTTACCCAATTTGCAAGGCTTCGTTTAACAGATTCGTTCATAAATGAGGGGCCTTAAACGAGAAACGATGTCAACTTGTCCGGTGTAAACTAATACAAACATCCCCGCTGCTTGGTTGTTGGTTATTAATTCATGAAAAAGATGTATACATTAACAAATAGGCAAATTTTCCAGGAGAATGATCAGAATATTGCAGCAGAGTCAGGTTAAATTGCCTCTCCTTGGTAACCGTGCTCATCCGTATTCGTAAATGGAGATGTTGTCGATTTAAAAATTAATTTAAAAGAGTTCTCCAAGCTGAATTAAACGAACATATTTTTCATTAAATTTTGGTATTGTTCATGTCTAGAAATAAATAGAAAAGCATGTTCTCAAATATTCAAAGATGAAATAATTTACATGGCAATATTGACCGCTAGAGATTCAGGTTCATCTGTACATGGAGAATATATAAGCACAAATGCCAAAAGGGAAGGGTGAACCCAAGAGATATGTTCATCAATATATTCTGGGATATTTCCTTCTTTTCTTTCACTTTTAGCATTCCCCTCAATGCAAGAAAATTAATTCTCGGTTTTACAACGATTTATATTAACAGAAAAAAGTGTTCTTGGATTATGTATTTAATTTTGACGTGTGTTAACAAATAATATGATGCAGAAATCAATGATATTTCAAAGCAACACAAGTAGGTGTTTGGCACTCTGTATAATTGTGTCAAATCAAAATCTCATTTGTCAACAATTAATTTGGCTGTCTTGTCGGCAATGTTGACAGATTGTATTAGGTTGGTGAATATGACACGAGTGTGTTGAGGAAACGGCCTCCAAAACAAGTAACACACGGCGACTTAAAACAGGAGAACGGTCGGCGACCAACTTCTTGAATAAACAATACACGTATCCGTAAGGATAGCCCTACATCGTATCACATACCTAGTACCTAAATTCAGAAAGAAGAATTCTTACAAAGCAGTACTAGCAGAACATTGAGAAAGAAACAATTGGCAGCAAATCTGAATTCTAATATGCATGATTAAAGAATTCGAAAAAAATAGAGGGTGCATATGTACTTCTATTCGTTTTAGATCGTTTTAGAATCGATCGTTTTATAAATTAGATGTGATAAAATGACAGCAGACGCAGCTGAGGGTCTTCTACGATTCATAGACGGTGCTTCGAATAACATTCAGGAAGCTCTAGGGACAATGGGGAAAACGAAACGACGAGTGAATCATCGCACCTATCTCCAGCGTCAGCTTAAGATGTGTTCACAAAGCTATGATGCATCTGGGATATCTAGTCAAGCGGCCACGAGTCTCACGCGTAACCGAAAGACGACAGAATCCACTGAATCTCTGCGGCAAACTATCTCTCTCGACGCCCTCTTTGATGTAAGTCTGTTTGGAACAAATGGAAATACGTCATCCGGAACACCAACTGAGCCGAGTTACCACAAAATCACTCAAACGTCTCCTCCACTGAAGAAACGAAAACTTCCACCATCATTTTTTATTGAGCCGTATCACGATTGTATTAAAAATAAAAAGACACAATGTCCTAAGCTGGAATTCACCGACCCCTTCATCGATGACGTATATCCGGTAACACACATGGTTGAGCACGATTTAAAGGACATTTTAGCAGGGACTTGGCAAGATAAGGTCACAGACGTCACTAAATCACAACGTGAAGTGATTCATTTGTAACATTGACAATAAACCTGTGATATTAGCTAGGATTTAATTAGATGCCAATAATGGAATAAAGAAATAAAAATACCTTAATTATAGACAAAATAACTTCAACTTTCAAAATGGTTAGTTTAGCCAATGGTTTAATTATTATAGACATAATACACGTCTTGTGCATGTCAATTTGAGGAACAGTATCACCATCACTAGTTTGGTATAATTTAACTATTATAAATAAGAGCTCGCTGGTCGATTAAACCGATTTGTTTGGGGAATTGTTTGCACAATTTCCCGATATGTGGCAGTCACTATTTGTTTTTTTATATATACGAGGGTTGATCCAAAAGTTCTCCAACGTTTTATCTAAAGAAATTATTTCTTGGTGAATTTTGTTCAAACTTGGTCAGTACCTCATATATGTAATATGTAAAGAAAACAAAAAAGAATTTGTGACATGTGACAACGGAAACTTTTATTGCAATCAGAGTTCGGTTCAGTTCACCCAAGATGTAGTAATAGTTCGGGATCAATTTTTTTCATGTACATACCGAACTTTCTCATGAATAGGCCCACTGAGAGTTTATTTCGCATAATCACGATTGAAGGGTTAATTTCCTGATTATTAGAGCCTAAAATTCAAATAAGACACAGTTATGCCCAAAAAACAGGAAGTGGGGGCCAAAAAATGTAGGGCCCAAGGAGGCCCATTTCTTAAAAAGGCAAAGAGAGGAGGGGGTGTAACATATGGGTAACATATGATAAGGGATATTACTTGACTTTATGTACTCGGCTATAACTCCACTATTTTACCACTTCTTCAGTCTTCAGAGATGTAACATCCAGTTTCTCATAGCCTACGTCAAGTATTTATAACAGGTCGTATAGACCAGTGTTGCTTGACTTATAGCAAAAACCATTTTAAGTACAGGTTACACTAGCGGATTAGGGGGGGGGGGGCTTGGGCCCCCCCCCCCCCTTGGGTGGGCCCAGAAAAAAAAATTGGGCCCAAAAAAATTCTGGGCCAAAAAAGGCCTTAAGGCCTCATTACTGGGTCTTTTAAGGCCTTATTTTTTAATTTCAGGCCAAATTTTGAAGAAAATGGGCCTCAAAATTTCAAAATTTGGGCCCATTTTTGGGTTTAAGGGTGGGCCCAGAAAAAAAAATTGGGCCCAAAAAAATTCTGGGCCAAAAAAGGCCTTAAGGCCTCATTACTGGGTCTTTTAAGGCCTTATTTTTTAATTTCAGGCCAAATTTTGAAGAAAATGGGCCTCTAAATTTCAAAATTTGGGCCCATTTTTGGGTTTAAGGGGCCCAAAAAAATTTTCCGCGCAAGCGGGGACGTTTTTTTCTCTGACCTGAAATTTGGGCCCCCCCCCCCCCCCTTGTTGGTTCCCAGATCCGCCCCTGCGTTATAACAGATCTCATATCTTAAAGGCGTATTGATTAAAATACCCATTGGCGTCGGGAGAGGGAGGGCGTCGGGGGAAACCGAGCCTAGAATTGAAGCCCCCCCCATTGAAATCTCTAGAGCTAATCAAAGTCGACAAAGTTTAATAATGACAGAAATGATACTATGTCCGTAGGCTTATCTAGGCCTTTTAAGGCCAAATTATCAAAAATGGGCCTTACATTCTCAAAATTGGAGTCCAATATTTTAGGGCACATATGGTTTTTTTGATTTTGGGTCCCATGGCGTAGAATAATGGAAATAGCGTCATGAATCCTGGGACAATGAATCTCGGATCCAAGTACGTCATTAATGGTCGACAATCAAAATATTGACAAATTTATAACCTAAAAGGCCGAAAGATTATGCGGGAAATATTGAAACGGGGGTTGTCAACATATTGTATTAGCTTTGATCTCTTAGAATCCGTTGAATCCTAAGCGATTGGAGTTGTTTAGATCACTTAACGAATGATATGAAATGATGCGGATTTGGGTTTTTTCAAAGTTTATAATGGCGGCCAATGGGGGATTTTAGCAAAATATCCCGAAAATTAAATCATTAAAAGGCCGAAAGATCTGTGGATGGATTTTGCTGTTTTATATATCAAAATGAACACTTCGTCGGGTCTAACAAGGATCCGGGAATCCTAAGAAAATAAATGATTTGCTAAAAAGATATTAAGATTTTAAATTTTGATGAAGACTGCTCTCCATTGAAATCTTTGGACCATGAAATGTCGATTTACGCGCATGCGCTGTGACGTTATTTCCATTATTCTACGCCATGATATGATAATTTTTTCCTGACTCCACATTTATTTTAACGGCAATAAGTTTTATCAGATTTCCCGGGGGAGCATAACCCCGAGCCCCAAAGATCAGACATCCCCAAGCTGAAGTACTAACTTAAAATATAGCCCTACGCTCATGGCTCAACCGTTTTCAAATACACTCATCAAACCTTTCCAGCTCATTCACGAATATTCCATTTGATGAATCACCGTACGACAAGCCAATCACTGCCCCTGTATGTTGGGGAATCCCTATAAATTGACCGATATAACTTGCTGACGTCATTACGCTAATGAAAATGGAGTTTCCGGATTTAGGAAAAAATTGCTCAGAAAAACACTGCAAAAAACTAGGTAAGTCTGTTCTATTTTCCCCAAATTTATGTTATTCATATACTTTCATGTATAAACAAGGGTTGTAATGTGTCAAATCTATGAAATTCATCTCGTTGGTGTATAGATTTACGGTTAAAATGTCCAAATCACATATTATCGCCCAACTTTTTTATTTTCGCTTGGTCATATTTTGTGTTTTTGTTTTGAAAGAAATTTGAAACATAGGGTTGGTAGTATATTCGGTAGGAAATTTTTGTAATATCCGAGAAATATCAAAGACACGGATAGGTGTAGATCAAAAGTATTTTGGTGCTTACAATAGACTACTATTTTTTTCAAGGCCTGTCTGCGTCGCTAACATGCTAAATATAAGAGTTAGCTGACGTTTGGGAGTCTGACTTACCTTCTAAAGGTTAGAACCCGAATCTTAATGAAACTATATCACCTTTGTTGCGTCGATGATGATGCATAAACATAGCATTTGATAGAAATTAGCGTAAATGCTTTTCCGACTTTTTCATTTTTCATCAATGTTGACTTCCGGGAAGGCGTTGTAGTTATCACGAAATAACGCATTGACCCTTGAACTTTACTTTGTTGACGTGTCAACCAAGCATGTCTGGTGTGAAAATTAAAAGAATATTAAGCAATGTTCTACATCCGCCAAGCTAAGTGAAGTAGTCAATATTAAAAATTACCAATTTCAAGTGAAGTACGCAACGAACGAAACTGCGTGATCTACACTCCCACTATTGGTCTGAATGAAATGCTACGTAGAAATATGAGCCGTCTGCTGTATTAGTCGATTAATAGAGAAAGACCTGTTGGTGATGCTTTATAATTTAGACCAAAACATTGAAGAACAAACGAACCTGTAAATCGTGAAAACAACGAACAAATATTCGGTTTTCACATATGTTCGGTAATTTTTCATATTGAAACTTCCGGAACTTACAAGGAAATCATTCATTTTCTCGATCCATGATTTACCTCTTGGATGTTGTGGCAAATGCTCCATGGTTGACGGAACAAAGGTGATATGGTTTCATTAAGATTCGGGTTCTAACCTTTAGAAGGTAAGTCAGACTCCCAAACGTCAGCTAACTCTTATATTTAGCATGTTAGCGACGCAGACAGGCCTTGAAAAAAATAGTACAATAGACTAGATGAGAGTAGAAATAATCTTTATTTACGTCATATTCAAAATTCAGTCAAAGTGATGTCATACTTGAAATCTGCATGTAAAAGTACGTCTAGTAAAATGGTTTCGAAGATTGTCTATCAACTTTGAAATTTTTTTTTTGAAAATGTGACTTCTTGTTCGGGTTGATTCCCCATAGACACTAGTATGTATCCAACAGACTGACTAGAAGTCAGTCTGTTATGATGTACTACTTTCCTGTGGAAATTGCAGTGACATTTTTTGCACAAAATTATCAATTGGAGGAACCATTTCTTCAATAAAATAAACATTACAAAATTTCAATTAAATAGTAAGGTACAATTAAATGCAATAAAAAGTAACACAGCATATTGTTAAGTGTAAATAAAGCTAGTTGAAGTAACAACTGTGCAAATTAATTTTACCCAATCGGCCATTTTGAATAGCACTTCCTATGTAAACAAAAATATTTAGATTTACCAAACTTTAACATAGGTGCCTTATAGTCTGAATATAATTCAGACTAAATAGGATATAGTCTACCATAGACCCCATGTTACAAAATCACAAAAAGTGAATTATCTTATCTTGTATTGGACAAATAACATTTTCTTTTACTGGACATATTTTAATTGGCATAACTATTAGATACATTAGGGTTATATGAAAATTGAACCACGCAAATAGATGTAATTTAAGTTAAAGGGAACTTTCTACCATACCCGCCATGCTATCCGACCCGAACGAGCAATCTGGTGGTGAATCTGGTAACTACCTACTTGCATCTGCATTATTTGAACCAAATGAGGGTAGTCGATTTCTTATCACCATTTCCACACCATCCGTGGTGGTTTGAAAGCCTATAGTCTCCAATATTGTCGAGATACATATCTCCTAAAATTGTAATATATTGTACATTTTGTATAATCTCATCCAGGATTATATGGACTTCTCCTGAAAATTCTTTCAGACAAGCCATGGCTCATTTATTTATGGTCCAAACTGTAGGTTTCCGGGTTTCTTGTTTTTACATTATCTTGTTCCACAAATAGTCTAGTTGTGAGAGCATCACTATAGGTTGTCCATATGATTACAATTTATGAGACTTAGTTGAATCCCAAATTGCAAGGTTTATTAACAGAACATGGACATTTTCATCGAGAAAGATCGCACATATTTTCAAGATGGTAGAAGGGGAATCCCCATAATAACATCCACATCTGGTGCTGCAAAGTCCAGATGTACTGATACATGCCTTTTAGATGGAGGCATTTTGAAGTAGCACGCAAAAATTGCTATTCAAATTCCTCGTATTGCTGACAAACTGATACGATTTGGGATTTAAGGGACATTTGACCTCTATGACCTTTCTAAATTAATCATTCAAAGACATGCTGAGAAACTGAGAAAATAAATTATTTAAGTTGTTAACTGGTTTGATGTCTATGTTTTATTTTATGGTCTGTACTTTTTCAGATTTTTTGCCAATGAAATGTGATGCCTGTAGAGATATATTCTGGTAAGTGAAACAGCTGTTTTTATTTTATTTCATTGTTTCTAAACAACTCCGATATAAATAAGGGTTGAAAATAGCATGACAAGTGATCTAATTATTAGAATACGTAGATCAAGTAAACCTTTCTGACATTGCTTCATAGTAGATACAAAAGGAATAAATGTAACTAATCTTCAAATGCTTGTCAATTTTATGAGAAATCACATTTTTTGTTAGACCTTATATTCAAGTTTATGTTTAGGCCCAAAAATCATTGATGTTAATTGCAATCATTATCAAGGGAAAAGGGATAATAAGCTGGGATAAGAATGTCATATCCATTTTAAACTTTTTATTTTACATATTGTTATTTTTTCCAGCAAGGATCACATCCAGTATGAAGTACATGAATGTAAAGAGTCATATAAAAAGGTTGGTTGCTTTTAGCATGGTTGGGCTATTGTAATCACTCACTTGTCTGTCCATCTGTCTATCATTTGTATTCTATTTTATCAATAAAAACTGATACTATTAACTAACTGATAGTAAGTAGTTTTCTCATATCATTAATAACTTATACAGGGTGTCAAATAAGTCCCGTCCCCCCTCTACAGCCAAAACCAAGATATTTGGTACCAAGTGTGATATATCATTGGAATGGTCTTCCAAAGTTACGTTGATTGGCATATATCTGACACATGTCAATCAATCTCAGAAATTTTTACATTGTATCAATTGAGGTGACCATATGCCTAGAAACATGGCAATTTGGCGTATTTGGCACGATTTTAAGTATCGTGTATAAGAAAGGTCACGGGACCAAAATATGACTAAATATGTTTATGGCGATGAATTTAACCTATTTCTGGATAGGGTTAGATGTGTAGAAAATAGAGGCACAGGGAAAGTGGTGAAAACCTTTTTGTAACAAGTGGAATGTGAAAAAGATTAACTTTTTGATGTATTTCTGAGGTCATATCCTTGTCATTTTGACGCAAAAAAGCTACTTAAAGGAGGGCACGTTAATTTTAAAAGACATCATAAAAAAATAGGTAAATTTCATCCAAAATACTTGAGAGTTGGTGAGTTAACATAACTTTGGATGATCTTTCCAATGGTATATCACACTAGGTACCTTCTGTTCAGGTTTTAGCTGTAGCAGGGGGGACGGGACTTATTTGACACCCTGTATTATGTGGGTCTTAGAAAACCCATGCTTTAATATGTTTAAGTGATACCTATTAACGATCATATTGGTCGGATAAACACAATGAGGTGAAAAATCATGTGCCATGTTGTAGCAAATCTATCCACTTCAGTGTTTTTCTTATTCTCACAGAACAATATTCATCTTTCAGGACAACTGGGTGCCACTGTGTCCATTATGTAGCAAACCTATCCCAGTGAAGCCAGGTGAAACACCAGACATACAGGTTGGGCGACACATAGACTCTGACTGTCAGTCTGATCCTGCCAAAGAGAGGAGAGGGAAGGTAATTACCCAGAAGGTCATACTTGAATTGAATAATCGAGCAATGAACAATAATACCTCAATACATGAAGTGAACATGAAAAATAATATCTTTTGAACAATAATATCTTAAATGCTTTATATATCCAAAAGGGGTTGTTTGGAGAAAATTTGGAATGAGATTTGGAACCTAGAAACCTAGAATATTATGGTTTATTAGGGTTTTTAAAAAACAGGAGAAAAATGGAAGTAACAATACTAAATCAACATTGTAAAAATGGTTGAAAAACTGGATTGCTAAAGATATATCGGGAGAAAATTCAGGGTAAACAACAAAATGGGTTGATTCATTGGAAAATCTGGAGTTTTAATGAAAAATCATGGGGGATAAATTGGAATTCCTCTCCATTTAAATTGAAACTTGACAGGTGAATTGTTGTACACATACATACTTGTGCTGTCAGTGCAAACTCAACATACACAAACATAATTTGTCCTAGTTTTACACATCATAAATGTATTCCAGGTGTACACAAACAGGTGTAATAACAAAGGATGTAAGACAAAGGAGTTGGTTCCAGTGATATGTGACAAGTGCCATCTTAATTACTGCCTTAAACACAGACACGAGACAGATCACAATTGTCAAGGCTTTCAAGGCACAAACAAGGGAATATCAAAGGCAGGGTAGGTACATGGAGGGACAAACAGGGGAATATCAAAGGCAGGGTAGGTACATGGAGGGACAAACAGGGGAATATCAAAGGCAGGGTAGGTACATGGAGGGACAAACAGGGGAATATCAAAGGCAGGGTAGGTACATGGAGAGACAAACAGGGGAATATCAAAAACAGGGTAGGTACATGGAGGGACAAACAGGGGAATATCAAAGGCAGGGTAGGTACATGGAGGGACAAACAGGGGAATATCAAAGGCAGGGTAGGTACATGGAGGGACAAACAGGGGAATATCAAAGGCAGGGTAGGTACATGGAGGGACAAACAGGGGAATATCAAAGGCAGGGTAGGAACATAGAGGGACAAACAGGGGAATATCAAAGGCAGGGTAGGTACATGGAGGGACAAACAGGGGAATATCAAAGGCAGGGTAGGTACATGGAGGGACAAACAGGGGAATATCAAAGGCATGGTAGGTACATAGAGGGACAAACAGGGGAATATCAAAGGCATGGTAGGTACATGGAGGGACAAACAGTGGAATATCAAAGGCAGGGTAGGTACATGGAGAGACAAACAGGGGAATATCAAAGGCAGGGTAGGTACATGGAGGGACAAACAGGGGAATATCAAAGGCAGGGTAGGTACATGGAGGGACAAACACGGGAATATCAAAGGCAGGGTAGGTACATGGAGGGACAAACAGGGGAATATCAAAGGCAGGGTAGGTACATGGAGAGACAAACAGGGGAATATCAAAGGCAGGGTAGGTACATGGAGGGACAAACAGGGGAATATCAAAGGCAGGGTAGGTACATGGAGGGACAAACAGGGGAATATCAAAGGCAGGGTAGGTACATGGAGGGACAAACAGGGGAATATCAAAGGCAGGGTAGGTACATAGAGGGACAAACAGGGGAATATCAAAGGCAGGGTAGGTACATGGAGGGACAAACAGGGGAATATCAAAGGCAGGGTAGGTACATGGAGAGACAAACAGGGGAATATCAAAGGCAGGGTAGGTACATGGAGGGACAAACAGGGGAATATCAAAGGCAGGGTAGGTACATGGAGGGACAAACAGGGGAATATCAAAAGCAGGGTAGGTACATGGAGGGACAAACAGGGGAATATCAAAGGCAGGGTAGGTACATGGAGGGACAAACAGGGGAATATCAAAAGCAGGGTAGGTACATGGAGGGACAAACAGGGGAATATCAAAGGCAGGGTAGGTACATGGAGGGACAAACAAGGGAATATCAAAGGCAGGGTAGGTACATGGAGGGTGAAGCTAAGATTAGGTACTACACAGCCAATATAATTTGGCATAAAAAAATTCAGCGCTGTTCATTCACTGTTTCGGCACCGTTCCGGTACCGAAACCTTTCCACACCAAAATTTGGCACCGGACTAGTCAGTCCATTTGGTGCCGAAAGGGCATCGAAATTTGGCACCGAAATGGCTTCGAAAATCAGATTGCATTTTGGGGCCCAGGGAGTAAGCATTTTTTAGAGGATGTAAATGGGATTATAAACTCGGCACATTATAAGCTTTTGTATTTAGGGTGCATAATTATTGTATCATGGACTTTCTCTTGTATTCAGAACTACTATAATGTTTATTAGACTCCAGATGTCAATCTGGAGTCTATTGTTTTTGCCAGTATTCTTATTCTTCTTATTAGACTCCAGATGTCAATCTGGAGTCTATTGTTTTTGTCAGTATTCTTATTATTCTTATTCTTTTTTTATTATTCTTTCCCAGTTTTCTCGTTAACTAGAAGATATTGAGTCAAGTTTTCTATATGGTCCATTTAGGTCCAGTATGTAGTTTCTCGGAAATTGGGTCAAATTTTTATCTAGGTCAAAGGTCAAGAACTAGGTCAAATCCAGTACTTTGTCACTTTTTTCGATTTTCTCGGTCGTCCTTCAATATTTTCGATCCGGTTTTTTTTCATTGTGTTCCTTATAAAAAAGTAGGAAAGCTAGGTTCGATTTAGTTTTTTGATATCTCAAACCGATTTCGAGATATCAGTGTCCGAAAACGAGGTCCAAAAAAAAGTTATCCGAATCAAATGTCCAGGATATTAGTCTTATAGGAAATTTTCTCAGGATTCTGAATCTGCAAACCAAATTTCGATCCGACTACCGGTTCGGAAGTTATGGCGTTTTGAAAACTCAAAAATCGCTAAATTTGGTGCCCATGTTAAGTCAATGGGAAAAAATATTTTTTTGAAGTGAAAAATACGGAATATAGACTGAGTTCAGCTTCATATAATCAAAGCCTTTAAAAGAAGGGGACCTCAAAAGCCATCTAGCTTCAAAATTTGGACACCGAAATGCCTAGGTCAAAATCTAGGTCAAATTCATAGGTTTTCCTAATTTTTTCGATTCTGACACTACACTTTAATTATATTCTTCGAAATTGTGTATACATGTAGCCAAGAATATGCTAATAGTGTTAGCCTTTTGCCGTCAGAAAGTATTTTTTGACCCACTTTTGAGATATGGTGTCCGAAAAGTAGGTCAAAATAAAAAGTTCTCCAAATTTAATATATGAGTTATGAATTAAGAGTAGAATTCTGTCAGGAATCCGAATCTGCAAACCAAATTTCGATCCGACTTCCGGTTCGGAAGTTATGGCGTGTCCGAAAAGTAGGTCAAAATAAAAAATCTCCAAATTTAACGTATGAGTTATGAATTGGGGGTAGAATTTTGTCAGGAATCCGAATCTGCAAACTAAATTTCGATCCGACTTCCGGTTCGGAAGTTATGGCGTTTTGGAATTTCGAGAAAAATCGATCTGATGGTATCCTGATAGAAAGTTAAGAGTAGAGAAGAAAATATTGAAAAATTCATCCATCCTTCCTATCTCATCCTATCCTATCCTTCCTTCATATCTTTTCCTTCCTATCCTTCCTATCCTATCCTATCCTATCCTATCCTTTCTTCCTATTCTATTCTATCCTATCCTATCCTTCTTTCTTATTCTATCCTATCGTTCTTTCCTATTCTATCCTATCCTACCTTCCTATTTTATTTATCCATCTCTTTCTAGATGACTCAGCTTATTCTGGATGACTCGGCTTATTCTGGATGACTCGGCTAAAAAAAGTCTAGATCTGGAGTCTGAAATTGAACTTCGTTCAATTTCCAAAATCTAGTTCTTATTATTCTTTGGGAGTTTTTTCAATAACTATGAGGTATCCAGTAAGTACCATAATACAGTTGATTTAGGTTCAGTATCTAGTTGGTGGGAAATTGGGTTAAATTTTTATCTAGGTCAAAGGTCAAGAACTAGGTCAAATCCAGTACTTTGTCACTTTTTCGATTTTCTCGGTCGTCCTTCAATATTTTTGATCCGGGTTTTTTTCATTGTGTTCCTCATAAAAAAGTAGAAAGTCTAGGGTCGATTTATTTTTGTGGTATCTCAAACCGATTTCGAGATATCAGTGTCCGAAAACGAGGTCCAAAAAAAATTCTCCAAATCCAATGTCCAGGATATCAGTCTTATAGGAAATGTTCTCAGGATTCCGAATCTGAAAACCAAATTTCGATCTGACTTCCGGTTCAGAAGTTATGGCGTTTTGAAAATTTAAAAATCGCTAAATTTGGTGCCCCATGTTAATTCAATAGGAAAAAATATGTTTTTGAAGTGTAAAATATGAGATATAGACTAAGCACAGCTAAACATAATGGAAGCCCATAAAAGAAAGGGACCTCAAAACCTTCTTTTCATAAAAATTTGGACACCAAAATGCCTAGGTCAAAATCTAGGTCAAATTCAAAGTTTTTCCTTATTTTTGCGATTCTGACACTACAGATTAATTATATTCTTCGAAATTTTGTATACATGTAGCCAAGAGTGTGCTAATAGTGTGAGCCTTTTGCCGTCAGAAAGTTTTTTGACCCACTTTTGAGATATGGTGTCCGAAAAGTAGGTCAAAATAAAAATTCTCCAAATTTAACATGTGAGTTATGAATTAAGGGTAGAATTTTCTCAGGAATCCGAGTCTGCAAACCAAATTTCGATCCAACTTCTGGTTCGAAAGTTATGGCGTTTTGAAAGCTCAATTTCGGAAAATCGATCTGATGGTATCCTGATAGAAAGTCAAGAGTAGAGAAGTCGAAAATTTTGAAAAATTTATCCATCCTTCCTATCTGATCTTATCCTATCCTATCCTTCCTATCTATCCTTCCTTCGTATATTTTCCTTCCTATCCTCTCCTATTATATCCTTTCGTCCTATTCTGTTCTATCCTATCCTTCTTTCTTATTCTATCCTATCGTTCCTTCCTATTCTATCCTATCCTACCTTCCTATTTTATTCATCCATCTTTTTCTGGATGACTCAGCTTATTCTGGATGACTCGGCTAAAAATGGTCTAAATCTGGAGTCTGAAATTGAACTTCGTTCAATTTCCAAAGTCTAGTTATATCTTATTTATGGTGCATAATGTTTGGCTTTAGTACCTTTTTAGTACCCACTTTAGTACCATGATGATTGACTGTTGTATTTAGGTTATTAAATATAATGTTTATCTGTATTGTATTCATGGAGCACAACACATGGGCACATGGCTAAAGAGTGTTTAAGGAGCATAATATATGTCTATGTTGTATGAGAATTCTCTTTGGCTTTATTCAGGGCAGCAGCTGCCAGAAGAAATCATGTGCCATCAGGCTCAGGTAGTAAGCCCCAGAAAAGCAGTAATAAACCACAACAAAACAAACCACAGCAGACAACACTCACAAACTATGGATTTGGCAGAGATCTCAATAGGTAATACTGTGTACACATAAAGACCTCCCCCCTACCCACCATATTACCTGTTTTACTCAGCCTTCCTTAATAACAATAAATTTTAAGGCCACATGTCAATATTTCTTGTAATGAAAGTATAGCTTGATGTCTGATGTTCTGTATAAAGCTTCTGTTAAGGTGGGTCAAATTAGATAATATTTGGACATTTTATGCTTCACTTTATCACTGAAGCTGAACAAAGAACTTAGAACACGGAGATACAAGTATGTAGTTGTAGTTTGTAATTTTTGTACACTCTCATGACTTCAGCTCCCCAGTTTACCTTAATTGTACATATTTGAGCCCCTAAGTCTACTGCACATATACATGTATAATGCATGTATATGATGCATGTTTGAGCCCGTGATCATTCTTCTGTTATTGTTCAGGTTTGTGCCCTTTAATCTTCAATAATTTTACATTATCCAGTCCCTCAATCAACTGTTCTTCATTATATTCTATTGTGTTTTATGTTTAGGGAGAGACAAGAGAGGATGAGGGGCCAACAGGGGAATGACATTAACACACTCCAGGCTGGCATGGTAGGTAAAATGTAAAAATTGAGAAATGAGGAATGTGCAATGAATATTTAGAGGTTTTTATGTTTCAATAGTACAGAATGATGCCATGCATGTTACACACATTACAAAGAATATTATAACATAATGTACCAAAAAAACTGTTAATCATATGCTATATGTGATTTGATTTAGTTCTCAGAAAATATTTTATCCTTCCAAATAATTTTAGGACTCTTCAAACTATTATTTACAAGTTGAGAATGGATTACGTCATAGGTTATGTAGAAGCTGGTTTAAACAGATTGAGTTATGGGCTTAGTTATCTCCAAAGATAAAATTTGAATGATCCAAATAAAAGGAAATCTTTAGGAAGCATGTCAAAAAAATGAAATCTGCCACATAAGTCTACATTAATGAATTCAATCATATTTTCTGTTTAGTCGGAAGATGAGGCAATGGCCCGTGCCTTACAGCTTTCTATGCAGACCAGTGACAACACACAACCAACTACTAAACCTACAACACAACAGTAAGTAAAACTTCTAAATTCCACCTTTTAATTACTTAAGTTTTAAATTCAGTTCCTTGAATTAAGGTAAACTTTAAAGTAAGATATGTCATATCTAAGGCTGCAATTGTAAATGAGACCAAGCTGTCTAAAGAATTTTTAGTCTTACAGGTCTGAGTTTACACCTTCAATAAATTCAAATTTTAATGATCTGTCAATTGTAGTCTTTTGTCATCATAATGTTTAAGTGTAAAAAGATTTGCAAAACTCGAGTTCTCAGTTCGAGTTTTTAAATCTCATGTTAATATGTTAAATAATACATGAAAATACAGCATATACTGGTAAAGACAGAGCCTAAGGGGATTCCAGCTGTTGAGAGACAGACTTTAGTAATACATAATTGTAATAACAAGAACAAACTGTAGCTGAGTGAGGCAGATGCCATTCTGAGTATAAACCATCATAATTATGTTTTGTATATTCATCGCTATGTTTTTTTTTGTTTTGAAGAGAGGAGCAAGAAGCGGCAGATCTTGCTCTGGCAAGAGCAATTGCTGAAAGTGAGGCCCAGGCATCAAATAATTCAGGAAATAACACAAACAGGGTAAGAATGGACTTACATTGTATTTAAAGTATGTTCATATTATGTCACCAAAAGTGGTGACATATTGCTATAGTTGCTATAGTAACTTTTTTATGGATGGTGTTCGGTGGTTGGTGTTAGGAGTTCGGTGGATGGCCTTCAGAGTTTTGGTATTTGGCATCTGTAACAAGTTGCAGGTGGTGACATTTTACATTTCAATGCCTTTTATAAATTATATTTTCAACATTAAAACTTTTGTGTAGTGAACACTTCCAAGCTTTATTTATCAATAAGAATGAAATATATTTTGTATATTGTATACTTTACACCATGCAGTGGGCCATTCCTTCTTTCAAACCCCAGCATTTATTGAATGTACCTTTTTTCAAGTCTTTTTGTAATTGAAATAGACAATTTGTTGCTATAACAACATTATTTGTTTTTCCAGGAAAGCAAGGACAGGTCATGTATGGTATCATAACACAGGACAGGTGTCCATGATTTACAAACATTCAGTCATTAGAACTTGGGTGAAGAAAACACATTTGGAATTCGGAATACCATGTAAAGGATCTGCTAACCAATCTTTTTATGAACATTTGGTTGTGCAAAATGTAATACAATATTGAGGAAAATCTGTAACATTTTGTCACAAAAATTGCCATTGATATTTCCGAAATCAGCTTGCTTTTCAAGTCATGTGAATTATATTAACCAAAATCATATGAATGTGGAGGGTCTCAATTTAATTTTGGAGAATTAGCAATTTAAAAGTATTTAAATGAAATTGTGCAATACATGTAACAATTACCTTAAGGTACCACATTTATTTTTTGTTTTTTTCAGTCACACTTTAAATGTTGTGAATGAAAAAATGGTGCCATTATTTTTAGCTTTTTCAGTATTTTGTCATCTACTGTATTTTCTACTTTGGGGGTCATATTATAAATGTACCTTATCTAGTAATGATGTGTTTGTATCCCATTATTTGGCTTATGATTTGAAAGCATATAATCCATTTTCAAAATGAATTGCGTTTAATGATAAATTGTATCGCATTGACTTAGAGATATTGTTTTTGAGAAAATGCTACAGTAAAATTTCTTAAATGCAAAATAGGGAATCTGCATTGAACAAAGTAAGAAGACATTAAACTTAAAAAAACTATTGAAAACAATCAGCAAAATTCTAAATTTGGCATTACAAGTCAATTAACGTAATTCAAATATTGTGATGTTTGCATTTCAAAAATAAGCAGTAATTGTAATTAAGTAAAAAATAGTTTACAGTAGAATCAATTGGATTTTAGTTGTAATTTTTGGTAAAGCTTCAGTCACATTTGCTCTGCGGCGTGCGTACTGGGGCCGTAGCTTCATAAAAGAGATATAGAAAATCTACATTGTACTGCTTATTCCTATATTTTATGCTGCATACTTCTCTTGATTTCGAGAAGCTACGTCTGTGGTATAGTTGACGCAGATCAAATATGACTGAGGCATGAACTTTGTTCAGTGCTTTTGAAATATAAATCATATAAACTATTGCTGGAGAATGAATGTGTTTAAATATTTTTAAAATTTTGAAAAAACATTCCCCTGATATGAAACTACTCAGGCAGCATTTTTGGTGACAGTGATGAGCAGATATAATATACAGGGTGTTCCAAAAAAACAAGACTGGTGCTGGCATTTTCTAGATTAAAGAATGTGCAGAATTAGCAAAATGCCAGCACCAGTCCTGTTACTTTTGGAACACCCTATATAGCACACATTTTATCTGTTTTTTAATCTGTAAACAGGTATATTATAAACACTGGGTAAAAGTTTGACACTTTGACATTGTAGATTTCTTTTGAAGGTATTGGGACATATGTTTGAGTTGTCTTGGGACTTTGTGAACACATGTCAATGTGAAATTCATCGTAAATACAGGCCAATGTGAATGTGGCTGTGAAATCACAGATTAGTGTGTTTCATGCAGGCATATTTTCCAGTATCAGTTTTATTCATCTTGTTATGTCACTATCACAAGTGGTGACACATTGTTATGGTCTCCAACTTTTGTGTGAATGGTATTCGTCGGTTGGTGTTCATCTGTCGGCGTCTGTAACAAATGGCAGATGGTGACATTTTGCATGTTAATTCCTTGTAAATAAGATTATTATTTATAAACATTGTTATAAACCAGAATATTTAGAATAATTTATAAATGTTTAAAAGGCATACTAAAGTATATGTTTGGTGTTCAGCAGTGACTACTCCAACCATGTCGGATTATCCATGTGTGGGCTATCTACCTGTAAATTTTAAAATCTGTATGCAGTTATATTTTATTTATTCCATGTGAAAATATAATAATATATGATATATAAATATAAGTATAATTTTATTCTTTTTTATTATTCTGAATATGTATATAGAGTCATAAGGATTGACGTGAACTCCCCCAGTATATCCTTGTGTACTGATTTAACATTACTGTACCTTTGATTTTTGAATTGATTTTTGAAAATACTAGATTCTCGCACCCTTAAAGCCCCTTGCAAATTTCGAAAATATGTTTTATCATAGTTTACTTTTTTCATGACATACATTAAAGTTATTTGAGAGATATTTGAAGAAAAAATTGAAAAAAGTTGTCAGCTTTTATTTCTCAAATATTCAAATTTTCCTCCATTTTCCAAATAAAAAATATGTATCTTTTCATCAAATATTCCAATATACCGTTCAAGACATCATTTGATACTGTTGTGAAGATTGAGCAAAGGATACAACACTATTTCAATGATAGGATCTCATATCTTATGTGCCACTTAAATGTTTTGCATCTAAATGACATCATCGTGACATCATAAGGGTGCAAACATGTTTTGAAAAAATTCAAAAACATTTGTTCTATGCAAATTTTCTAAATATGCTTTATAAACTTTCAAAATAAACCAATGTTGATTGTCTAACTAGGTTGAAAAGAAAGATATTTTTTGTTTTTTCTACCCGGTTTAATAAAATACTCCTTAGCTCGCGACTTAAGTAAATGGGTCTTTAGGTAATGTTGTAGCTTTGCCATATATTACAATATGACTTCATAATCAATGTCGTTTGTACGACCTCTAAAGTCTTTCAAAACACAAGGAGGTCATCATCATCATATGTCTCTTAAAATGTAACAATGAGATAACCTCATGAATTTGATGTAAATAGATCAACGTGCCACAGTTTGTCACCCTTTCGAGAACACAGAGCGACAAGAAGAAAGCCAGCGGCAACATCTATCAAATAAACAAATCAGGTTTTAAAGTGCACGTAATGCAGTAATGGGTCTGGTCTGGTCTGGTGAAATTCACATAATGTAAATTGTAGTTTAATGATAAAAACGAGCAAAATGATAAATGCACCACTTCATGTAGCTATTGATTAGGTAAGGTGATCAACTTATGCCCGACCTCTATACATGTATAACATATTGTAAATATATTTTAAATACGCCTGTATAGAGTATACAGAGAGAAGATAACATATAGAATATACATATAGAATAGACACATTGAGAGGGAGTAGGGAATTTAATTTATTAAAATGACGGAAACCCAAGGAACTGAGCATAGAAAGGGGCAAGGCGAAGTTGGAAAATCGCAACCTAAAGTGTCAGAACATTTTGCTGCACTTCTAAGTGATCTGAATATGGCGGTAGATGATACTCAGGGGATATATAGTAAATGGGCCCAGACATATGATGAGGTAGGAGACAGATCTTTTCGGTAGATTATCATTGTACTTTATCGATTACGTTAAAAATATTGGCTTGGACAGTGCTGTTTTGTGTTGTCCCCCTGCTTCTGATCATTTGTTAGCAGCAGTGTAAGTTTTTGAATAGCACCCTCATCCAATATTGACAAGCATATCGATACACGACATCGGACCATCGATGAATATGCATTGAAAAGATTGCATGGAGTCACATTTTATCATTAGATAAAGTGTTTGTGATCATTTATTCAGTTCGAACAAGAAACCATTTAATTCACAAAAACCTCGATCCATGATTTTTTATTATAGGATCTTAATGAAAATGGGTACAACTACGGTACTCCGATATTGGCTGCCAGACATTTTGCGAAACTTTTCCAAGAAGGGGAAAGGTCAAATGTTAAAGTACTCGATGTAGCTGCTGGTACTGGGGTTGTGGGACTGGAGGTATTGGAATATATCTTAGAGAGCGTTGTTATACAGAATGATATGAGCACTCGACCTATTAACCCAGGCCCGTAGCCAGAGGGGGAGCTGGGGGAGCGGAAGCTACCCCCCCCCCCCTGGCCAGAAATTCTTTCAAAATCATGCAGTTTTCACCATTCTGAGAATTTTTCGCATGATTTTTAGCCAAAATTGTGAAAAAGCTCCCCCCTGGAAAAAAGCTCCCCCTCCTGGTAATAGCTGGCTACGTGCAGGTAGCCCTGCGTTTAAATCATTCACTTTCTGTAACAAATTAACATTGTCACATACAATGCCCTTCAACGTACACGTACGTAACATATATTCAATTTGTTTCGCGTATATTTCAGCTGAAGAAACGGGGTTTCAGCGATATTGATGCTGTAGATGCTAACCAAGCCATGCTGGATATTGCCAAGTCAAAGCAAGTTTACAACCGACTGATTTGTGATCTCATCGGATCGAACAGTCTTGACATACAAGATGGTATCGAATTAATATTTTATCAATTTATAACTTAAAATACGACACTGGATTGGTGCTCTTAATTCAAAGTAGTGATACATTTTAATAATAGACATTTTTATGTAAATACATAATTATGTACTTTACAGGAAGTGACAAAACAGAACTCCTATCATTTGAACTCTGTTTAAAGAATTTCTAAAAAATCAGCATGTTTTTACTTCCTGTTTTTCACTTCCTGTTAAGTACCGTAGGAGTTTAATCTCATAGTGGTAATAAAAACATACACCCCCACAACTTATTGGAGTTATCTTTTTTTGTTTGTCATTTTATTTTTTCTAACGGTCACTGTTTTGCTTTTTCTCCCCCCCCCCAAAAAAAAAGATAGTGAATGACTTCTTCAAACCCGATAATTCATCTTTCTTTCTTGTATTGTCAACGAATTGATAAATAAGGACAAAATTCGAAAACGTATTGCATATATATCAAATGCTCATCAATGATATGTATGCACTTATTTGTATATGATGACTTTGATGTGTCAAAGTAAACTAAAATGTATGTTTAGATACGTATGATGGCGCAGTGGCGACGGGGTGCTTCTCAAAATCACATGTCAATCAAGATTGCTTCCATGAATTGACTCGCATCATAAAACCTGGTATGAACGTCATCATTAAATCGCAGAAAGTTTACTGATGAAACGTTTTCTAGACATGTTTTATGATCTGCAAAGAATGTTTACTCTGCTGTGTTTTAAATCAATTCTCTAAATAATATTTTTTTGTAATTGACCTTTTACTTCATTTCAAGTATCAAATGTTTCACTTCACGGGATTTTGCAATGCATATAAATATGCTGGTTAGCCTTATGCTAAATGTATAATGAAATAAATTGGATTAATCGAAACATTTCAATTCAATACATTCCAGGTGGATATCTCCTGATACAAATAATATCAGAAGTTCTAGAAACACTTGTAGGGTTCGAAGAAGCTATGGAACAACTAGAAAAGGAAAACGTATGGACAATAGCCAAAAGGGAACGATTTCCAGATTGGCATCCTCACAAAGCAGGCGATGGGATGAGGATTATTTGTAGAATCAACTAGAATAGGCGTTCTTCAATTAACTAGTTTAAGAATAATGAATTTAGAGGATTTGGAGTGATTCCGGAAGATGTGACTAATAGTTATAGAGGTAAATTGGTGATACATATGAGAATAAATGGCGGCCATTTTGAAAGAAACTTGTAGACATTGTTGAATCTAGAAATAAAGGTACCTGTATAATTTCAAGCAAATTGAGGGAACACTTGTGGAGTTATATGACCAAAAACGAGCCGAAACCTTGAATTTCCCGCAATAAGAGTGGTTGCCATTTTGAATGTTTGCGACTTGTATTGCCGAAACTTGTATTCATTATTGATAACGTAGAAATTAAGGTACCTGTACAATTTAAAGCAAATTGGCGAAAAGCTTGTTATAACCAAAAAGAGCTGAAAACCTGAATTTTGCGCAATAAATATGGCCGCAATTTTCAAACAAGGCCAGCTTTTGAGACACAACTTATGGATTATCATTGGTATATCTTTATTTTCCCATTATTCATGGATCATTTTATAACGTATTCACATATTGATAAAAATTGCGTAAAAAACAGACAGACAGGCGGACGGGCGGACAGACAGACAAGTGGGTGATAACAATAGCAATTACCATGTGAGCTAATAATGAGATTAAGAACTATTTTACAGTAGCTGATGAAGGAAGACATATTGAATATTTCAGTGAATTGGGACATTACAATCTAAAAGTATCATAATTTCTATAACGTTTTACCCCCCTATCACACTAAGCTAGTTCTTACCCGTTCTTGCCAGTCCTACGAAAACGTCGTAAAACGGGCTCAATCTGGCTGTGGTCGGGAAATATGTCTAAAATAATTAGCTACTTCGTTCATAAACAGTCTTAAATACGTCCATCTCATTCGCAGTTCGTCCAGGTCGCACCACGTCGGTGTGCAACGTCGTATAACGCGTCCCTTAGTCTAGAAGGTCATCATGACCTGATTACAGAACGGTATGGTCGCCATCGAATTTTGAATCGATTTAAATTCTAAATCACATTCCCCGTCCGAGAAAGTCCATGAAGTTCGTAAATAGACCGTAGAACGTTGTAGCTACGTTCATTCCGTTCGCACACAGTTTAAAACCAGTTTTGAAGAACCCAGTGGCAACTTGTTTGGTGTAATAGCTATATTTTTGCTAACTCGTTGATAAATACGTTCTTAATCAGTTTAAACCCGTTTGCAGTTAGTTCTACCTCGTTCTCAATACGTCCTCAGACAGTTCAACTCGTTGTAAACACGTCCCTAGTAGGATTGAAGTACGACGGTTCCGTTCGTAGTACGTCCAGCTAGTCGTTAGTAGGTTGTCACTCGTTCTAATTGTAGAACGTGACGACCAAGAGAACATTTTGAGCAAGTTCTGAGTTCTAGAGGACCTACCGTTCGAGTACCCCAGACGGTTCTAAGTACGTCCAGTCCGTTCGTACACAGTTGAAGCCCGTTTTCGAGAACGTAGTGAAAACTACTTTGGTGTAATAGGAGGGTAAGATATAATATGAGGTACATGAATATATTAAACCCACTTAAACAATCTTTTAGGATGTAACACATCAGACTACATGGTTAAATCTTGAATTTTTTAAAATGCTTATGATAATATTCCAGTGCTATTATACGAATATCATAACGTCATATGATAATACTTCAATGGCATATGATAATATCCTCATGTCGTATACGTATATTGCTTTTTATAAAATCCCAGTTTTAGAATATTTGATAGTTATCAAAAACCATATGCAATGGTGATAAAGATGGCATATAAGTATGGCAAGCTATTACATCCAATGAACTCAAATCTACTGTTTTGTAAAACAACAGTAAAATCAACACATTTTACGTAATAACTCACAGTTTTGAATAAAATGAATTATTTGTTTCGATTTCACATAGGTTCTAAAATACATATTCTCCGATTTTTATGTTAGTTGACAGGCATTTATGAACCAACCAGCGTTTCCGATGTAAACTTGGGTTTGATAGCTTCTCCAAGAATAACGATCTTGGTTGTTATGATTTCAATTCATGTTGTCGAAAATGTATAAGATTAAATTGTGTCATCCGTGACTGGCCATGGTTACTAAAGCATATATAGTCGGGTTTAGTCTGAAAAGTAGCGCCAGTGGGACCTTTAAATTTATCAATTACATTGGAGTTTACATGTAGTTTTTCTGAAGATTCAAGTCGGGTTAAGTTTATAGAAGAGGATGGAAAGCCCAGAGTTTAAAGATGACAGACATAATTACGTCTCTTGCTTACCACCTTCGTTCGTTCGAATTTTTATCGGCTAATTATCAAATACTACACTTTGATGGGATGTTTTAATTGATATAGGCATATTCCGTACACCTTTCTTTATCTTGATGTGAAATGAGAAGCTATGATTTGGTTAACACGCCGAGATGAACTTAATATTATTCGAAGCGTATTTCGAAAAATTTTAAACCGCCATTGATGACATCATTTGTTTGTCGACTTTTGACCAATCAGATGTATGTCATCTCAATACAGGTTTACATTATAAGCGTATGTCATCTTTGAACTCTGGTGTTATTCCCCTTCTGTGTTAGAAGCCATCTTCGCACACTCGGTCTTCACTGCGTTCGACGGGAGCCAAGTGAACGAAGATGGTTAGATGCCTGTCTAAAGTCTTTGAAAAAGTAGTATTTAACAAAATGTTTAAATTTCTTGTTGACCATAATTTACTTTACAACTTGCAAAGTGGCTTTATTCCTGGCCACAGTACTCAATATCAGCTCTTAAGAATTATAGATGATATTGCCAATTATATTGACCATGGGGAAAATGTGAAAGGAATATTTTTAGACATTTCGGCCGCTTTTGACTCGATGCCACATAAACTTATATTGAACAAACTTCCAAGCTATGGTTTTGGACCAAACATATGCACTTTCTTTGACTCATATCTAAATAATAGACAGGTAAGAGTGGTTATTGACGGACACGAATCAAATTGGTCAAATGAAAACTACATAAATACAGGAGTTCCCCAGGGATCTATTTTAGGACCCCTCTTGTTCCTTTTATACATAAACGACCTTACCGATGAAACTAACAACAAATGTTTCCTTTTTGCCGATGACTCCTCTATTTTCTGCTCGTACAACTCCACTAATAATATTGAAAAAATGGCAGCCTTGCAATCCGATTTGAATGCTGTTCACAACTGGTCAGCAAGATGGCACATGCAATTTAAAGCAACCAAAAGCAAGGAACTAACATTTTACAATCCTTCTAAATCCGAAATTTTGACCCCCGACTTGTATCTTGGTGATGAACCAATACCAAAAGTTAAAACACATAAACACTTGGGACTGGTCCTAGATCAAACCTTATCATTTACACCACACATTAATCAAATGATAAGCAAAATAGACAAACTTTTAAATCCGTTAAAGGCATTAGCCCCTAAATTAAGAGGGAAAGATCTAAAATTGATGTTTTCTTCATTTATTATGCCACATTTTGACTTCTATGACATCATTTATGGGTGTGGAAAAGCAAGGGATTTAAAACAACTTGATCAGATTTATTATAAAGCTTCTCTAATCTGTTCTGGTGCTATATTTGGTACATCATCCACCAAAGTGCTCAGAAGTTTAAACTGGAATTCTCTTGAAATAAAGAGAAAGGTTCACAGAATGTCATTGATGTTTAAAGTTCAGGCAAATCTAGCGCCTGGGTATGTCTCAGAAATGTTCACTAAATTTCGCAGACCTGCCATTAGAGAAGGTCTAAGATACACCCCAATGTATCAACTTCCGGTCAAAAGATCAAATACTTTGAACAAATCATGTATAATTTCAATTTTAAATGAATGGAATGCTCTCCAACCTGAAATAAAGCAAAAAGAAAATGTTAAATTATTTAAAAAAGCTTTCCTCGAAGAAATTGCTCCACCTAAAGTAATCTTAGCATCTGACCTCCATATAACAAGGCATCAAGAAATAATTTTAAATAGAGTCAGATCAGACCTTATTTTCCAAGCACATCTTCATGCCCACAATTTTACAAATGTACAAAGTCCTACATGCTATTGCAACCAAGATAATGAAACCACACACCATGTGATTTTCAATTGTCCCCTCAGGAAACCATTTTTAGTAGACTTTGAAGCACAACTCTGCCAACTAAATTTTGGATACTTTAATACATTTAAAACTAAAATGGAAAAATTACAATTATTCTTATATGGTACTCCATCACTTACCAGACGTTTGAATATCAAAATACTCAGTCTCAGTGCAATATTTCTAGAAAAGTGTGCAGCCATCACCCAGGCCCCTGTTGAGTGAACTTTAAAGATGTTACCTTGATTATAAGGTTTTATATATTGCATTCATACTTGGCTAATAATGCTCTTTGAGCCTAGCCAAATTGTATTGTATTGTATTAACTATTGCTTTTTGTGTAAATAAAATAAACTATAAATAAAAAAAAAAAAAGATGGTTAGAAGCTGACCACCATAGTAGTTTGTATTAAGTCAACCATCCGAGGGCAATGGTTTTCGTAGGATGATTTCTATCCAAGATGTAGCCCAAGTAAAAGGTGTTCGTCATGAGAGGTGTTCATATGAAGGAGTTTTATTACGTTAAAAATGGGTACGGGATTGGAGCAATTGAAATCCAGAAATCCCCCCGCAAATCCCACCCCCAATTTAGCCCTATGAGCCATTGACTTATATACTGTATGAATAGGAACACTTGTAAATATCAATGGAAACGTGCTCTCATCGACTGAACTCTGTAGTGAACCACTGGTCTAAAAAACAATCTACTTTTATAGTTTAAATGTAAAATGGAGTAAAAAGGACTTGAATTAGCGAGAAATAAAGCAGATAACTATGAAACAGACAACCTATATTGTTTAAAAATGCAAAATAATCAGGCATCTCATTCAAATAATACGGAAAAATAGTGCGAAATCATTAAGAACAGACGACATTTTAGGACAGGCTGAGTTTATCTGGATCTTCAAGAATTCCATTAGTGATCTCTGTTCTCTGGCCTATGTGAAGACAGGCGTGTCAAGTATGTACTTCACATTACGTAGATAACAGCGTACCTCCAGTATTACCATACAGTTTTCTTCCACACTCGGAATCTGTTGAAGGAGTTCCTTCAAGCAAAATTACTCAGAAGTGTTGCATACAGGCCTTAAACAGTGAATAGATGTGCACAAAAAGCTTTTTCTGACTTATATACAGGACTGAAACCACACTGGAAACGTACGTAATAAAAATCTGCATTTGCAACTTAGTAAAATTCTGGATGCATGGGTTATCGTACGTTACATCCCTTTAAGTGCTAGCACTTTAAACCAATCGTTTGTTGTATATACACCTTGAAAAAGTTGTGTAAGTTCAAAACACAATGTGATCTATCAAGCTCTCGTTTCCACGCTTCATCTCAGAATCACACAGGGTGAGGATGATATAAGACAAACCAAGCACGTATTTTTGATTTTTGTAAAATCGCGGAATATGACATTTTTTATTTTAATGTAGATTTGACATCTGACTATTTCACTACATCAATATCATAAAAATATAATACTTTCTTTTGTATATAATGCAATTGTATAAAGTTTCAATATAATTAAATATTATATTTGTTCATCATTCGAAAATGTGTATGCTATATATATACACTGCCCTCCCTAAGTTTGGCGACAGGAAAATTCCCATCCAATTTCGGTTATAATGAAAACACGCGCTACGCGCTAACGCGCTAGCGCACTAACGCACTGTTCAGAATGATCGTTCCCATTGGCCCGGGAACATGTATAAAAATCGAGTGAGTGAAGAGATTAGGTGGCTCATCAGAAAGCAGAAGACTGAAGTATGAAGAAGCCCAATGTTTGATCGTTAACTGTGCAAAGATTATCGCTTGTCAGTGTGTTTTATCTGATTTAAAAGGAAGATAGAAAGTAGCACCTTACAAGATGAATGGTCGCAGATATGCGAATATGCTCCCTATTTCATTGCATTATTTGGGTCCATCCATCGGCAAGAAAAATCCCGTTTCGAAATTTGAGCCGGGGGCCCGACTACTTGACTAATGACTTAATATAATGTTTATTTGTCGCATGTTACCTCTTAATATCAAGTCATTGATGTTTTATATATCTTTACTCTTTGTATTTGAAGTTATATCTCACATGACTTACCAAACGGTGGGATAATTCAGGCGTCGCATTTATATTTTTCCATTTTTCTTTTCGTGCCCGGTTACTCTCTCTCTCGCTTTCATGGGGGTGGGGGTGTATAGGGTTATCGTATAAGAGGAGGGTGAAAATCTATTGTGTATGGCCGCATAAGAGGGGGCAACATTTATCGTATATGGCATCGTATAAGTTAAATAAACATATGTTTTAAAAGAATTAAAGAAGCCTATTATGAAATTTAAAGGCAGTTTGAACGAATACTGCAGATCCAGCTTATCCCCATAAATTTGGGATTTCAGTACACAAGTAGTTGTGGGGGCTAGCCCGTAGCCAGATTTTTTCCAGGGGAAGCTTTTTCACAATTTTGGCTAATAATCATGAAAAAAATTCTCAGAATTAAAACTGCATGAAAAAAATTTCTCAGAATTAAAACTGCATGATTTTGAAAGAATCTCTGGCCAGAGGGGGAGCTCCGCTCCCCCAGCTCCCCCTCTGGCTACGGGCCTGGTTGTGGGGGTGATTTGAAAAATCAGTCCCACATTTATGGGGGTAATCCAGATCTCTATATAGTAGTCTCTAGTTGCCATATGCCAGGACAGTAACCAGGATTTCCCGGGGGGTCACTTTTTCAAAAATTCCAAAGTCACCCTCCGAACCCCCCTGGCTTCGGGGCTGTGTACTGCCTATTTGCCGTATGATTATACATTTGGTACTACGTGGATTCTTGCATTATGTTATTTCCTTCTGAATATTATCCAAACTTTTCTCAACGGTAATTTCAAAATTATCGTACAGATATATTATTTACCCGACCTTTTTGTAAAATATAGTACTATAGGGAGTAGGTGCATTCATGCACCCTCTGGGTCTCTGAGGATCGTGTTGGTTCACCGTCTATATAGGGAGATGTGTGAAAAATATTGCATACACTGTAGGCCTATGTTATACATATAAAAGGGGTGAAAAATGCTGTAAATGGTATAAGACTGAGGGGCTTGTGAAAAATAGTGTATATGGATTTCCAAGACCCCTATGAACCCCCCTTTCATGTTTGCTTTCGTTTTTCTCAATTTGATTTTAGATTTAAAAAGTTTTGAATTACGTCAGTCCCAGTGAATTGTATTACCTATTTTACCAGGAATATTGTTGAAAACAGGATTGTATTTCATTTGGAATTAAAGTTTTAAATAAGAGACGATTTAAAAAGTAATGTAAACCCGACCAGCGTGTTTTATCATTGTCCGGTAATTGGCCGTAAATATTTATTAATTCTAAGTTACTCATGTTCTTTCAGGTCAAATACAGAGAAAAGTACACGTTCATTTAGTTTTGGAATTATTTCCTAAATTGAAGTTGAATTCTGTTTTTTAACGGTGTGAAGAACATCTTAATTGGTCTTATATTTTTAGAGAAATCGTAACTTGATCGTAACTTGATCGTGGGGGAAGGATCATTTTCTATTAGCGCATTGGCGCGTGGCGCGTTAGCGCGTAGCGCGTGTTTTCATTATAACCTCCAATTTCCCATACATTTCTGAAATATTGTAATTAAGATGGCTTCTGACGATTTTTATTTTTTCGTGAAGCCACTCAGTAAAATCACGATTTTTCTGCACCATAATGCCCGTTGTCATTCCGGAATGACCAAACGTGTCAGAAACACATAGGTACTCGAATGATCTTACCAATGATTGGACATCATGGTGCAGAGAAATCGTAATTTTACTAAGAGGCTCCACAAAAAATAGACATCATTATAAGCCACCTTAAGGTGCATACTTAAGGTTCAAGCAATGACAGGCTTTAAATGCTAAAATTTGCCAAATTTATGGAGGGGAGCGTGCGACCTGCTGATCATTTAAAGCGAATTCGGTCAACTGACAAATAATAAAAAGGTTAATTATGTATATGACCTATATATGTGATCACTTTTCCGTTTCGATTGCTCTTCTCATTTTAAAAACACTATGGGACTATAGATCATTTCTAGCATGTAAAATGTCCACAGTTGTATAAAGATATGACAGTTGCTGTCCCAAAGGGACGTCTTGTAAGCGAAGATATAATACGCCGAAGTAAGCACAATTGTGCTCTGGGATTTACGCTGGAAATTAGTTTATTACAGCGAATACAAGAAATGTACAAACAGGAAGCCGATGAGACTATCGTGGACAACGTTTTTATTTTAGTAAAACTAGAAAAGACCAAACACATGTTTGTCTAAAATATATGTATTTATTTTCAGGTTAGAAATCGTTTCCATTGAATTTAAGTTATAGTTTTATTGGAGGACAGTCATGACATGCCACTTAATTATTATGTATTACACTGGTGATCCACTCGATTACGCTGGTTACCAAAACGGTTCGTTTTGGTAACAAAATGTCGGAACGTCGAAGGTACGATTTTTCTTTTTTCCTTATTTCACGCGTTGTAGGCAGAATCCCCGCGACGTTTTTTCTCACAAACGTATATCAGTATCATATGTTTTAGAAAATGTACATGTTTGCGAAAAAATAGTTCAGAAGACAACAGAATCGTCGATTTAATTCCTCACTTAAGTTACATAAACGGTTTTCGAAAAACGGTTAAGATCTGCACTTTTAACCCAAACCGTTTATGTAACCTAAGTGAGGCATAAATATGTACATTTTCGTAAGCATATGATACCGATACACGTTTGTGTTAAAAATGTCGTGGGAATTTTGCCTTCAACGTGTGAAATAAGGAAAAAAGTAAAATCGTACCTTCGATGATCCGACATTTTGTTACCAAAACGAACCGTTTTGGTAACCAGCGTAATCGAGTGGATCACCAGTGTATTAGTAACTCCGATTAGCACGTTCACAAAACAGGATAAATAGAATATAAGTTGTCCGTTCGCATATTTGACACATATTCTAACTTGATGTTAGTATAAAACAATATAGCTGTAAGTGTTTTGAGTTGGCATAAATCGATGAACTCACTAATTTTATGATATAACCGTTTATTTCATTTACGTGACCCCCTCTCATTCTAGAATATGGTTGAGATGCACACAAACACCGAACGTAACGTTCCCACACTTTTTTTAATTTCGCTTAATATCAGACACAGCACGCACTGAATCTTATATTACAAATGAGCTACATGATAAAGAATACAAGATGGAGTGCCCTTGAATGAAGACCACTGATAATGCTTAGTGGTCAATAACGACCCATTTATCATTTCCAGAACTATAAATATACATCTTTAATCGTCATGGAAGTGCGTTAACTACACCTGCTTTCGTATTATTAAGTCAAGTACAGTTTTCAGCACCTTTTACTGATAAATCTTGAGTTTGCACATTCTCCCTCTAATAAAATGTTTCTCTCGCCAGGATTATATTATCATTTATCTCTGGTGTCATTTTTAAACGTGCATGGAATATGTGCGATTTTCTGAAACTGTTGAGACTATTGAGTCCAAGTCAATTGCATCATAGGAGTATTGGTCTCTCTTTTTACTATATTATGTATTTTAAATATTTCAACAATGATATTTAATCCAAGGGCAGATTCTGCTTGGTTCAGCGCTAAGTAACAATTTCGCTCCAAGCAACTTGTGTTCTCGATTCTGTTTTTATAGTTTTTTGTTAGACCTTAGGTAGTTTAACCAATAAATCCCTCATAAATATTGTTATGTTCTACCAGCTGTAATGATCCATGTATTTTCATAGTGTAACTGGTACGATATGAGTTAACAGCGAATGCACCGTTCCCCTCACAAAGACAAACTGGGTCCCTTTTCTAGTTACGAAATCGTAAGAGAACAAAACTTCAGTCATTGTAAACTATTTTTGTTCTAGCAGGCATTTAGTACAGCTAAAACATGCAAATTAAAAACAACCGTGTGAGTCAATAGGTTAAAACGCATTCGTCAAAAGTCTACAATCGAAGAACTTTTTTTATTGAGACAATCACAACTGTTGTGATTTGACAAATGTTCCGAACAGGCTGAACGAGGGGAGGTAGGTTGCAGCAAACCATTGATAACTACAGCAGATAGGCCAGTGATGCTGTGATGGTAATAGTTAAGACAGTAGCTTGTGTCACGTGAAAATAAGAAACTGCATGTCCTTGTTTATCGTCCCTAGTATCCGAGCAACTCCCCCGATCCCGTCGTTCGACCTCGTATATCATTGCCCCGGGCGCCCATGCTGAAAGCAGATTGAAAATTTGAAAAAGAAATGTTAACGTTAAGACACGGGAAGAAACGTAAAACGTGTACCTTATTGTCGAAGCGCACAATAAAAGTACGATAGGTCGATTTTTGGTAAATATGTCAATAATGTTTGTCGTTTATTCTGCTTAGATTCCAACATTTCTCTTCAATTGTAAAAATCTCAAAATTCAAAACTTACACACGTCTTCTCCCCCTATACTTCCAGCTGCATTGATGCGTCGCTCAGAATCGAACCCATAACCTTTTGTAAATAGGGCGTTCGAATATATCCCCATCAGACAGTATGAAGAGAGGTAGGCTGGGTTGGTACCTGGACTAGTGTTATTTGCCGCACTTTGTAAACTCTGAAAAAATACAACATAAAATGCGAAAAGGACAAATCTTAGATACGTATATGGCGTATATGGTCATACTGTGTAAATCGTATTTATCGTTACGTTTTGTTCAGCTACTAGCTGTTTACTAGAAATTATAGCTTCGCAGTGCCTTTAACCTGTAAGACACCTTTGAAATCCAAGCATAGATCATAAAAGTTGAAGAATGTCTAACAAGTAGATCGCTACAGTGATTATTAGCAAGTAATAAGACTAGGGTAAAAATAAACAGCAATAAGCCTAGTTTTTATTGTTCTCATTAGCAACGCTTAGTAAGACAAGCTGCTTCCCAGTAATTCAGGTATTATCGGAACAGGCTCAGGTTGTTTAAGGCGTTAACTCCCTTGTTGCGATTAGACATAATAATCGAGGCAGATGCTGTATGAAGTAATGAAGATGTTGCTACATACTATCTGCGTTGTTGTATGAGAAGCTAATTTACATCGAGATCTATAAAAACTGTTCCCAATAGCTTTTTATTATCGTTGGAAGGGCACCTCAACTTTAATTTCACTTCATTTTTGTAAGATTTGAAATGTCATGTTGGAATTTGTTTCTCGAGATATTCTCTTAACTTCAAGAGAAGTGATTTACAAAAATCACGATGTGCCTCGACGTCATTATTCAAGTATTTTTAAAAAATGTTAAATGTCATTCAAGAGAAAAAATTGTTATCTTTTATTTTTTAAGAAATTCAGTTTCGTTATAGAAAAAACTGACAACTAATGATAACAAACGCAGCATGCTACATATGATTATTTGAGGCTTTACTGACTTTCGAATGAATGGATGCGTCATTGTCATTTGCATTGCGATATTGCAACTACAATGAGGCCGTTTCCATTGGTTTACACCCCCCCCCCCAAATAATTTTTTTTCTTGAAACCCCATATGATTTGGCCTCCGATTCAGGATCGTGTTTATTTTTGAACCTCGCCTTATCTAGACAGTCGACGCGTTCATTTACATTTGTTAGTATCAGTTACATAGTTATACACTACGATAATGTAATTATATTTATCAACAACTAAATATTTTCCTTATTTTTTCAGATAAAGATTCACTCATAGTAAGTGGTGATGATCATGTATTTAGATGTATCTTCCTCGTCAATTGTCCTCGCATAAATTGGTTTGTAAATACGTTCCAAGCATAAGAATCTAAATTGGACAAAAAATTGTTTTATTTTTTTTCGTTTTGTCCTTTTAATGGTCAGAGATTGGAAACATATTATATTCGTGACTATGCTTTAGCTTGACGTCATGCGATTTCATGTAACACTTTGATCCACGTTACACGATGATCCGCGTTACACTGTGACTCATGTTACACGGTGATCAGCGGCCACGTTACACTATGACCCACGTTACACGGTGATGTAAGTTACACGGTGATTCATCTTACACGATGATCCGCATTACACTGTGATCCACGTTACACGGTGATTTGCGTTATATGGTGATCCTCGTTACACGGTGGTCCGCGTTACACTGTTATCCATGTTACACGACGATCCGCCTTACACTGTGATTCATGTTACACGGTGATCCACGTAACACTGTGATTCATGTTACACAGTGATCCGCCCTACACTGTGATCCACGCTATACGTTGTTCAACGTTATATGGTGATTCATGTTACACATTACGTCATTTGACCAATACATCATGATCACCTAGCAAAACCCTATGCCTGAGCCTACATGATCTTATATTATCTTATGTTTCGCAACTTCACTGGCGATCCGCTCGATTACGCTGGTTACCGAAACGGTTCGTTTTGGTAACAAAATGTCGGAATGTCGAAGGTACGATTTTTCTTTTTTCCTTATTTCACCCGTTGTAGGCAGAATCCCCACGACTTTTTATCTCACAAACGGATATCAGCATCATAATGTTTTAGAAAATGCACATGTTTGCGAAAAAATAGCTCAGAAGACAACAGAATCGTCGATTTAATTCCTCACTTAAGTTACATGATACTGATACACGTTTGTGTTAAAAATGTCGTGGGAATTCTGCCTACAACGTGTGAAATAAGGAAAAAAGGAAAATCGAACCTTCGATGTTCCGACATTTTGTTACCAAAACGAACCGTTTCGGTAACCAGCATAATCGAGCGGATCACCAGTGAACTTGCAAAGCCATTTCATTAACAAATAGGGACTTGGATTAAAGATCGAGGTTACCTGTGAACAATAAGCGTCTGCTTTTGATTTAAGTTGACTCGATGTGAACGATTCGCTGTCATCGAGAACTTCTAGAGTCTTTAATGTATATAAGAACCCCTGGATGGCATGAAACTCCATGTTGGACGGAAGTAAGGGCTGGTATATCTGCCCGATTGCGCAAGGTTTAGGGTAACACTTGTATGACGGAGCCTTGTAGACCAGTTCATTGAGCACAAGTGTTTGGCATTTTTCTGGATCACTGGATCCTTTGAACTCGATTGTTCTACCATCAGCAAATGTATGTTCGGTCTTGTCACCTGAAATGTCGTATTAAAAATGACTGCTTACATTAATACGAGGACTGTCAAAAAGTTATAACGGCCAAATAGTTTATGTCAAACATATCCCCCGTCATCTGTTTCAAAACCCAGTATATAAGGTATGTTGAAAAATGTAATACATCTAATTAATAATAAGGTGCACATAAATTAAATACAAAATGAGCAAGGTCATTTCAAAACATTTAGTACACACCTCGTAGCATGCAGGGATTATTGAGCTTAGATGGCGAAGTATCATTTCTGTGAAGACCTTCGTATATTTTCTGCATTGCGTAATTAATACCAGCATAAAGGTAACTGTGAACATAGAGGCCAAAGTATCTGCCACCAACATAGACGGGGAATTTGTCGGCCAGAACTGATCCTGAGGGTAGGAACGCAATTTGTGTCGAGGCTCCGCCCATTTCGAGTATTCCTACTGTTTCTGTGGGCGACCTGATTTAAAATGATAAAAACATTATACTCTGTAAAATCATGATGTCATATGATTGTACCGAAAGGTCAATGTAGTTCATAAGCATATTCAACAATTTCCGTCAGTTTATTGTCTTGTTTTGTTCTTAAAACACCGCCCTTTGTGCTTGCCCATATAATGCATATCAAGCCCATTCAAAATAAATAGTCAGAATCAAACATTGCTCAGGTTTTACAGGCTTTATATGACAGAAACAACTAGCACGCTTATCTACGAGAGTCATTTAGTTCTCGTTTTATAACATACTTATAAGGATACGAGGGTGAATAAATAAATTGTTCTAATACCCCATGCTCATCGTGTCACAAACCAACAACTAAGGCTCATTCGAGAGCTCGTACTTGATTAATGAAATTAGGAAATTGGAAGTGACACACCTTACCCTTTGCTCGTAAAAAGCCCATTGAGGTGATTAGCAGCTATCCAGGAGAATGCCCCCTCCTCCTCCCCAGAGAGTGTCCGGGAGTTCCCCCTCTGATAGTCAAACGGGCAGAATGTTTTGTTTGTGAATAAAGTATCTATTTGTTGGTAAATATTGTAGGCATCTTGACTAGCTAGAAGACGCATACCTGGAAGAAGTGATTACAATGTTGAATGATTATGATCTAGTCTGAGTTGTATTATAGCATTTTCTTCCCATAATCCACCGGGACAGGAAGGGAAGAACCCTCGAGTGGCATGCCATCTATATGTGTCCATATTAAAATTAACCAGTATCAAATTAGTATAACATTGATTATTCTGGTGTCAATTTCTTATGTTACTAAGACGAATAATGATTTAGAATCATTTGTCTTTATAAGCAATCTCCTTGGAATACGATACTCCGCGAAAGTCTCTTTAAAAGACAAAATAATATCTCGAGTCTACAAATCTAGAAAAATATTAAAAGTTAAAATAGACTCATAGACAACAATACCACCCTTGGTATACGCAGCTAACGAAAATTGACCGGTACGCGTCAAAAGCTGGACCGGTACGGGGCAATAGCACACATGTATAAAGATTCCTAAATTATGTTCATGCTATTGCCCCGAACCGGTCCGTCTTCTCGCTGCAAGCAGTATGAAATTCTTTGTCACAAAGTTTGGCATTTTTTATAAAATCAAACGCGCGTCATTGAAACTCACAAGATGTAAATAGCATGTCATTTACATCATACCTTGATGGGGAAAAATCGATCTTATATGTTAGAAGTACTAAATAAAAGTTATTGTGAAAAGAGCATAAATGCGCATTTAGAGAGTTTTGGTCCGTTTAAAAATCTGTAAAAAATTGGGGTACTTAAAAGCATCGGGAGGCATCGTATATTTCAAATTAGACACGAGGAAGTCAATATTGAGCAAGTTATGGCTGTTTTAAATTCAAATAAAACCGTTAACCCGTACCGGTGTAAAAGGGTAGGTGGTCCTATCAAATTTAGGTCCTACTCTCTATTGATTTATATGGTGACCTAATTACAATTATTTTCCTTATTATTTATACATTATCAGGGCCAGTAAGGGCCGTAAGGAAAGGGGACCATAATCCCCAGGGGACCATAATTTCTTTTACACCGGTCCAGCTTTTGACCCGTACCGGTCAATTTTCGTTAGCTGCGTATACCAAGGGTGAATACTTAGGCTATAAATTGCAAAGAAACGCTTAATGACAGTTATATAGACTACATTGAGAAGGAATGAGTCCAACTAACATTACTAATCATGACCAGATGATAGGTTAAAACAAATCTATCCGAATATTAGTCCATTCCACTTGGGGAAATTAATCCGGGTTAATAATGGGCTAAATAATTCGCCCATATATCAATTCTAATATCGCAGTTCATAAAAAAACTAATATTTCCTTTGGAGGTTGTATTGGTTAAGCGATTACTTAAATTATAAACATAAATAAGTTGAACTTGATGTTTAAGCTAAGGCTCATCATTTGAGCTATACACACACAGTCTCTTCTTTCTTTCCTGAAAATATGAACATAATTGAACTAGTATTTTTCGAGATATAGCGATTTCTTTGGGTTGCGTTTTTTGAACACCCTGAACACCCTTTGGAATACTGGCTCACCAAAGCGTTAGATGAAGGGAGACTCTGATTAATCAGAATGTATGTACTTTATATATACTAATATTATGGAAAATTTCACTAATTACTTTTAATATTAGTTAATATACTATTCAAATCAAATATTTTTGTATTTTGCATGTCTATCTATACGATCGGAATCACACCTAAATGTGGCGCGTAACTACCTACGTGGCACTGTGTATCAATCGTTATATAACACTGACATTTTAAAATTCCTTGACGTTTCATGAATTCGTGGAATTTCCCTAATGATGGTATCTCTCGCCATGATTCCACAGGTTCCCAATCATAAACAAGGCATTTGGCAAACTGCTACATATAAATACTGATTCTGACAACAGAACACATGCTATTATGTAATTGAAACTTTTCTTGCTCTGAGTTAATTTTTATCTTTAACTTTGAGCTATTTTGAGAGTGGAAAATTGTAAAAAGCACATTTACCATTAGTTTAGCTCTGAATGTAAGTTAAAACTGAAATCGGTGTACAGCTTACATAATCTAAATTTTACATACTTCTAATACATGACCAGGGAACAATGTTTAGCGAGAGATTTCCGGGTCGAGAAGAGATCGAATATCTCCAACAGAACTGGTGAAATGATTTACTTGGAGATATCACTGGCGGATTAGGGGGGGGGGCCTGGGGGCCCGCCCCCCCCCCCCCCTTGGGTGGGCCCAGAAAAAAAAATTGGGCCCAAAAAAATTTTACTTCGTTCTACTTCGTTCATAAACAGTCTTCAATACGTCCATCTCATTCGCAGTTCGTTCAGGTCGCACCACGTCGGTGTGTAACGTAGTATAAACCGTCCCTTAGTCTAGAAGGTCATCATGACCTGATTACAGAACGGTATGGTCGCCATCGAATTTTGAATCGATTCAAAATTCTAAATCACATACCCCGTCCGGGAAAGTCCATGAAGTTCGTAAACAGACCGTAGAACGTTGTAGCTACGTTCATTCAGTTCGCACACAGTTTAAAACCGATTTGGCAACGTTTTGACGATCACAAGAAAATTTTGAGCATGCTACGTGCTGGACGACCTACTCGTTCTAGTAGTTTCATGAAGTTTGTAAACAGATCCCAAACGGTTCTTAGTGGGTTCTTAGTACGTCAAATCCGTTCGTGCACAGTTTAAGGCCGTTTTCGAGAACGTAGTGAGAACTAGTTTGGTGTGATAGTAGGGTTACAAACGGCACTCATGACCTGCCCAGTCTGTGTACTAAAATACATGTACGTGTACCCGTCGCTGACCATGGAAATCGGTTCCCTAGAGTTTCAAAAAGACTTTACTATTACAAATCGCATAGCTTTCATTCTCTGCAATTTTTCTGTGTATTTTAAAAGGTACTATTTTATATTATTTATGTTTAACGTTATTTATTTTTATTCATTTAAAAGATTATGTACAATAATTCTGAGTGTTCATCATAGACACTTCTAAGTCAAGTTGGTCGAATTTCATATACAGAATAACATACACTTGTTTTCTTTTACGTACAGTACTTCCTGTCAGCGTTATTACACTGCGTGTAAGTATTGTATTTCTTATCCCTCGAACTTCACAATTTACGCTTATTGAAATTATGACAAATAACGAACACAATAAACATTCTATGACCATAATGAACATCCTAAGGGTGGGGATTCAATATTGTTCGACAAAGTAAACATTTAGCACGACTTGATTAAACATCCAGATAAATGATAATATAGCCAAAGAAAATGTTTCAAATAACTGCTTCAGAGCCCATAGACTGTCCGCATGAACAGCATTAGAAATGTACATACCCCAATCGCATGAACAACATAGAAATGCACATACCCTAAGTAACTCATAAAACATCCACATATTCCAATGAAACGTTTTTGAGTTATTTCAAGTTTCCCAATATCATTCATGGAACATGATATAGAGAATATCACATAAAATATAATTAGAGCAAATTGTGTATTTCTTATGGGACAATCCTCGTATATGTATAACTTTTCTTGACTAATGGATTTTTTAAACTAATTTCAAATCAACGTTGTTTCTTCACCCCGAGGAAGAATTAAAGAAACGTTACTCCATAAAGTCTTAAAATAATTATGATGTCCCACTTCTACACACAAATAATTCTGATGTGATCAGTAATCCGAATGTCATGTCACTTTATAAACACTTCCCCTAACATCGTATAATAGTTTGACCCATCCTCCTAACACACATCGTCACTTTCCACTGGGTCTAGAGGTAGGAATTAAAACCTTGTGAATCAAGATGCTAACAAAGGTCTCCAGAATTCGTACCTCATCCCTTCGTACGGAGAATGAGTTTCACCGTTCATATTTACCATTTTGATTAAGAACTACTTTGGCGGAGAGATTAGAGGATATCTGTTATTATCATATTAGGATGTTTACAATCTCTTTATATTGAAGCACTCTAGATCTTATATTTGATAACTGCTAATATAACCACGTTCTACAATCAAAATATTACAAATTGATATCTTGCAATTGCTCAGTCCGATATGATAAAAGTTGGTTATTGATAGATCCGTGCTATACAATCATAAAGTTAACAATGTTATATTCCAATTGACCTATCCAATAATAAATGTCATCTCGATATGAATTATTCAACTGATACGACTTGGCATATAGCGTTTCGAAATCGTATTTATAACAACACAAATATTTTTATATTTATACTGCTTGGTATCTCTTTCCATTAGTTAAAAAACATTGGAAAGGATTTAGGTCTGGGTTGTTTCACCTAGTTCAACAGCATGGGGAGTGGGTCATCGATGCCTCATCCCCTCCTTTACCTATATGTACTAACTTAGTATATAGGTAAAAGAGAGGGGGGTCTATGACTTACTCCCCATCAAGCTCATATTCATCTGATCATGACTAGACTAGACTACCCCTTTCCTTTCTTCAAGATCGGACTTCGCTTCCATCGGAGGAAAGAATTGAAATACCCTCGGATTAAGGATGTCCTTTTCAATCAAGTTTGATTTCTCTTATATAAAACAGAACTTGAACTTTAAGTACTAGCGTTGTACCTCTTGTTGATTTAGTTAATACGGAATCAGATTTTACTTACCAGCAGTAGCCATGAGATATATGGGGGTACGGGACTGCAGATCCCGGGGGACACTCTCCACGCATGCCTCAATGAGACTTCCGACATGCTGCCGAACCCCCGGGATATCATTGACGTAATCACTTAATCCTGGCTTAATTTTCTTACTATTAACTTCCCTGAGTTGGATGCTAGAATCTAAATTATTCCGCTTGGGCCAAGTGTAAATCCTTGCCCGAGAGCCCGAACTCCCTGCATCGATAATTACGCCATATTCTACATCGGTCGCGGTAGGAGCAGCACGTTTTTTGTCTGTAACCGATGAAGAGTCTGCGAAAACGGATAGTATGAATACAATACACTGAGTGGTCCTATAGATTCTCCGATGCACCCCTAGTAATGCCATCTTGCTTCGTGGCTCAGTTCTGTTAATCTAATTGTGAATGATAAAGTGGTGGCCTTTACGCTTACTATACTGTAACTGGGCAAGAGTTTGATATGGTGTTTCGGTTCATGCTCTTTCATACCATTGACCAGCCTCCTTTATTGCCTGTCAGGATATATATGAGAACACTTCACTTCATAATTCCTAACAGTTACAAGCTTGATATCTGCATTTGAAATACGATGCTAAATGTTTCAACTATGATGGATATACAGTCAAATCTGGCTTCAGCTGTTGTTGTGTAAATAATGAACATTTCTGCAAGTTATGTGCTTATTTGATTACATAAAGTGAAACATATGCTCCCTAAGCTGTTAAATAGCTCATATGATACCCGTTTTTCTAACAAGCTGTTAGTAAATATCAACTCCATGTGGATACCTAATGAAACAACGATATGTCTTGTACTGCTTTCAGGTTGCGGAGATTACATCACGTCTGTCGGTTCAATCCTTCAATCCGAATACTTCGTAGATCTTAAATCAGAACTATGAAGTCTAAATGGTCTCTTAACGTGTAGAATGCTAGAAAGAGTGTGAAAAAATATATGATACAGTGTATCAGTTTTGCGTGTGTAATTAAGTCTACAAGAACTAATAAAATATTCCATTTTACAAGAAATAACACGGCACTTTACTGCAAAACTTGCATGCAGAGAACAATTAAAAAGGAGTTGATTACAGGTTGAGCCGAAACAGGTAACCCAAAGAAATGATAATAACTCATTTTCTGCAAAATTAAACCTTGTTCGATGGTCTAGTTTTAATGGTCACGATTTTATGGCCAATTCAAAACATGCTCGAAATGAATACCCAAACTTTTATCTTTGGAACTATTTCAACTTCTAGATATTGTCCACACTTATAACTCAAATTCATGTAGCCTTCTCATATAAATAGCCGTTCAAATCCAGTGTTTGTTTAGACTACACCATAGCGTGTAATGATTCTATAGTATGTCATTGATGCGGTTTTATAGCTGGTTTTCTAATACATATTTTAAACGAGCTCGTTTCGTAAGATTTTTGGCGCTAAATCATGCATGACATACATCATCGTGTTCAGCAAGAATTCAACTGTGCAGCGAAATCAAAATTGACAGCATAGTGTTCAATAGACACGAGTAAAATGGTTCCCGTTGACCCAACGTCAAATATTCAAATCTCCCGTTCTAAACCCGAAACTCTGAAGCTGAAAGAGTATCTGAAGTAGACTAAGCGCGCATAAAACTATGAGCGGTCGATACATTCCTTTGTTAATTTTTGTACTTTGCGTTCACGGTTACGTTGTGAAAAACATCGTTAGCTTAACCTCTCCAATGATCGTCTATATCAGACACATCTCATCATACGGGATACGCCATCTATGTAAAATTGATCAAGTTAAAAACATCATCCATGCATTCGAAAATCTATCCCGAGAATTAATATTTGGTATTTCCACTGTTCGTTAAGAATTGTACAAATATAAATACTTGTGTTATCATGTCAATGGACTTGATTTTTGTCTTGGACTTGCGTTTTTTGCGCAGAATCACTTTTCGCAATATTCGCACATCTTTAATGTTCCAAGGCGCATATTCAACAATTAAGCATCATTTTTATGAAAAGTTGTTAACGTGTTTTCATCAGAGGAGTAAGACTTGCCTTAACCTGATATCCCTAATAGCTGATCATTTTTGACTATTCTTCAACAGGAAGCTTAAGAAAAGTGTGACAAAAATTTCATATGTCAATGAGGATATTCAAAAGATTAACTCATTGAAATTGCTTTAAGCATTTTACACAAGTGAACATAAAAATCGCCAGACCAACTTGACATATGTTTATAATAGCCATTACTGTTCGTCAAAATACACACCGTGCATCCTCCCATTATAGCAAAGCATTCGTTTCAACAAAACCTCAATATCTCCAAAAGTGAAAAGATGTTTACGAAAGCAATTTTCCTAATGCTATCAGGAGTCATAGCCTTGACAATGATCGTCTATATCAGACACATCTCATCATACGGGATATATCAATATGACATGTCTCCCTGGACACGTCCATACGATTCGAAACAAATGAGTCTAGAAAATAATACCAACAACAACAATCGAAGTAAAAGTAGGAATATACAAAATATTTTCACACATGACATGACAGGATCTCATGTGAGTCTAATTTCATCAAACATGTCAATACTAGAGATATGCATAACTGTATTTAAACATATTCTCCATCATTGGACAACAACAAAATGTTTTATTCATTTAATTCATATTCTTTTTTATATAGGAAGACGATTATATGGATACGTTTAATACAAGTACAGAGGCCCCCTGTGAAACATTTGCTCAATTCATTAATCCGGAGAACGTGGATCGAGATCATTCAGCATCAAAAATTGTGGAACAAGGCAAAACATTTAATAAATTACCAGCACTTCCATATCAAAACCGTTTCCTCAATCCACCAGATTATATTTGGTCGAGGAATTTTGTGAAGGAACTTCAATGTTTACTAACTCGTATTGTGTCTAAGAAGATTGTCATAGTTACTGCAACTTCCGGTTTTGAAGAACGGGTTTTTAATTGGTTAACTGCTGCTGTTATAAAACTTTCTAAACCAATAGAAAACATTTTGATCATTAGTCTCGACGATCCATTCCATAGGGAAATCTCAAAAAGAGGTTTTTACCCACTCCAAGTGCATGTGGATGATATAATTGCCCCTAAGCTACGGAATAGACCAAGAAAATCTATTTGGGCAATTCGGTTGGTTCTTTGGCGAATAATGCATCATATAGGATTTGAAAAAATTATAAACTTTGATGCTGATGCAATTCCACTCCAAGACCCTTTACGTTATTTTGACAAATATCCAAGGAGTGAGATTATTGCCATGGCTGGAAGGTATCCAGAAATCATTAGCCAGAAAGTTGGGTTTACATTGAATATGGGGACCTGTCAGCTCCGTGATTCACACTTCATGCGTAAGTAGATCAAGTAGATCAATCCTGGTGTGTTTGGATGTATTATTCAGAAAGTAGTGGTATCGATATGGTGAACTTTTTGAACTTAATGCGTAAGTAAATTTGTAAGAAAAAATTCACGTCATGTAAAATGATACTGGTGTGTTTGGAAATATTATTCAGAAGTAAATGAAGGATCTAGGTACGAATATACCAAGCGTTCGAGCCAAGTAAACTAGAGATGCTCATTCTACATCCGGGCGGGCATCCAGGTTAGTTCTGCGATTTGTGTTTTGCTTCTACAGTCGTGTTTAGCTTCTACGGTACAATACGTATGTTTTATGTCTACAATATGTATATTTTTCTTGTACAGTAGGTTATTTTGCTTATACAATAGGTATGTTTTGATTTTACAATATGAATGTCTTGCTTGTACAATGTTTTCTTGTAACATAGGTGTGTTTTGGGACGAGGTCGCACGACAGAGTGACAAATCCGACAGACCTGCTGATGACCAATATATCATTAACTACACCCTATTTATCAAAGACATAGAGTGGAATATAGTAAGCTCTCATAGAAGCTTTCCATGGCATAACGAAAGTGCAGTTATGCATCGTGATGTTACCGGACAGACGGGAGATGGATTAAATACTGTTGCCCTGTCAGCGGAGAAATTCTGTAGAGCAACATGTGTGCCTAATATAACCAATAACCTGGTAGTTTCACATCCACAACCATCTAGAATCTTCTTCAACTATACATCACCAAACTGGAATACATCATCAACATCAAAAGGACTGGAATGGTTGAAAAATAAATTTGCAGTTCAAGTTGATGTGTAAAATAAACATCAATTACTAATAAATTATCCTTGCATATATTTATATGTCAAAATGTTTTAATTTTAAGGACTAGTAGTCGATAATATTTATAAGAAATAGAGAGATTTCGCAACTCACTTATAGCATGTTTATTATTCCTGTGTAACGTATAACTAATGACGCGTTTCATTACGTCACCATTTATTGCGCAGCTCTATATGTCCATGAGTGAGAAAATATTTAAGCGATGCACTTGTATGGCAATTGGTCATACGTATGGGTTGGCGTTTCGATTTTATATGCAAGCTTAAACTCCTTATTCTTACGTGTAGACGACGGTGCATACGAATATGACACTTCTGGACGTATAGAGATAGAACTGCACAATAAATGATGACATAGTCAATTGCTTTATAAGTTATCCGGGAATAATAAACATGATATATGTATTTACATTTATTTATTGTACCAATAATCCCTTTAAGGTCAAATGTACAATAACAAAACAAGAGAAAAAAACACTTACATAGACATAATAACGTACAAGTAGAAAAGTACATAAATACAGATGTATATAGAGATTATCCTATATGAGGTTCAGGATATTGGGATTATCCCGAGGCAAATATAATATATCTGCCCGAGGGCCGCAGGTCCCGAGGGAAAATATATTATATTGGCCAAGGGATAATCCCAATATCCTGAACCGACTATAGGATAATATGTTTATCCCATACCAATCTTGGTCATCTGGTTCACATTGCTCAATCGTGGAAATATTAGAATTTTCATGTCCAGTTTTGTTTTCTTGGCCGTGGGCGGATTTTCCTGTTCTCTCAAATATTCCCACATTTATTTTCTCGAATTTTTGATTGATTAAGTGGATGCTCTTTCCCTTTTTAAACCATCAAACAGATCCCGATTGTCTGTGTTTTCTCCACGCATTGTAGTTTACAGTCATTATGCGAACGTTACAAATTATGAACAAATATGCGAGCGGCGATTATGACGTAGCGGGCAGATATACTATATCTGCCCGCTCGGAGCGGGACGTAAATAGGGGTTATGCACTGGGGGGTTTTGGATACAGGGAATATCCCGAGGGATATACAATATGTATTGTATATCCCAAGGGATATTCCATGTATCCAAACCGACCGTGCATAACTGGTGTATCTCATACTTGAGTGGGTTTAGGGTAGATATAACCTTTTTCACCTTTTTCAAATGACAAGATATTTATAGTTAACATTTTCGTAATATTCTTTTTGTTCAATACAATGAAATTGTAACATTTAAACTTAAAAAATTAAATTTTAAAATTAAAAAATTAAAACTTTTGATATTTAAATTTTTTTAAACTTTTGAAAAATTCCCGGGAGCGGGATGGATATATTATATCTGCCCGCATTTGGCCTGGAGCGGGACATATACAATATATCCTGCCCGCTCCTCAGATGCGATATATATTCCCGGGTGATATCTACCCCAAACCCACTCAAGTATGAGATACAGCTATATCTGCCCGCTGATGAAAATAAAAGTTTTTACAAACCGGCTTTATGTACCTGTAACACGTCCAAGTATGGGATAAATATATATATGTAACTGGATCACGTCGTTACTGGGTGAGTCTGTCTGAAATCTACCTACTGAGCAAAGTACTCCTTATCACTGTGGCTAGTCGATCTATGTGGATGCAGTCAGGTACATGTAATGTTTCGTGAGTACCCGCCTCTGTACTTTTCAATGGAAGAATTTTGCACTTCTGTTTAAATAATCTATATTTACTCATCCGTGTATATCATACTTCATTGATTTACAAAACCAAAGCTACGCTATAAACACACATTCTCTGATATTTTTACGGAGAATAGATAACTCAAACGAGTTCACTCGACCAGTTTTATCATCTCGCTCATAGCTCTGAGAAGGTATGTATAATTTGCCATAGGTTTACCTTGTAATGGGGAATAAAAAATTCAAGTAATATAATTATTTCACATACACAAATATGTCTGTGTAAAGTAAAATACAAATACAATGCGTTCTATAATATTTTTGGGGTTATGGTATGAAATATCCACTTTAAAAAAGCAATTTAATTATGATGTATCATGTGGATTAGTAGACGTTCTGATTGGATTCATTGAACAGACTGGCTAGGTTTCAATTGAATCATTTTGAATGTGTGTATTTTTAATATTTTAGTCCACAGTGTCCAAAAACAATAATAATGCTATATTGGTAATTGGAAAGATTCCACTTACCACGATTTCAAAAAATTGTAAATGTATAATATTATTCTTGAATTATGGTCATTTGTTTCAAGGAATCTGGAGGCTCGTTCAGCTGAGCTGACAAAATCATCAAGATTTACGGATGGTCCATCTGTTGGCTGCTCATTGTCACTTTCAAGGAATGTTAATGGCTCTGAAACTTGTAGCCTTGCCCAAGTCGGTATTTATTTACTTATCTGATCTTGAATTATTACCACCTTGTACAATCCAATGTATCATCGCTGATATTATGCTAAGTTATTCAGCGGTTCCGAGATTCCCATAATACCTAGGCTACCTAAGGGTATCGCAAAACCATATTGATTGACAATATGGACATGGACACAACGTGTGACTTCAGGCTGATTGACCAATCAAAACGTTATCAGGTTGACCTGCATTAAAAAAGCAAACTACCCGTCTAGGACTTGAAATTCAATGATCTGATCGAGTGTTTCTTTAGAGTTACAATATATTATGTTATTAAATGTACATTGGAATGTAAGCAGTCATTAATACTCGTCTAAATGAAATCATGCAATTCAATGTTGATTCAAAATCAAAACTGAATTCGCGATGGAAATGCATGAAGACCTAGTCCGGCAATGTAGGGCCGTCGTTGATTTGTCAAATTTTACCAACAAAAACACTGGGTCGGTAAAGCACGTGGCTTTCTCTTGGGTACAGGGCGGTCATAATAGAAATCAAGATAAGTAAAAGAGACCAACTTGGGCAAGGCTATGAAACTTGATTTGTGGGTATTCCAGTGGGTCGATGGGTCTTTTGCTCTGAATTCACTTCATTGGCGTACCTAATTTCAACATTTTCATTGTCATCATTACATGTTATGGACCCTTTTTTCAAATTAACAGTATTAGCGATAAAACCATAGTTTTTGGCTCACACAGTGATCCTATGGGATCGACCAGGCGTCCGTCCGTTGGTCCGTCCGTCCGTCCGTTGGTCCGTCCGTCTGTCAACATTGGCTGCACAAATTAAAACTGCTATTCGGATTGAGTCATTTCCACATTCATTTTATGCATATCCATAATGTATATTTGACCTAACATCGCCATTTCCCAAGTTCGCCCGGTTTCCGAGAAATTGCTGATTTTTAAATTTCGAGAAAAATCGATCTGATGATAGCCTTACAGAAAGTCAAGAGAAGTGAAGAAAAGATTGAAAAAATACCAGTCCAGTCCATTTCCAGGTCCAAGTCCAAGTCAAGGTCCAGTTCAGGTCCAAGTCCAGATCTAGGTCTAATCAGGTTTAATCTAGGTCAAAGGTCAAGAACTAGGTCAAATCCAGTACTTTGTCATTTTTTCAATTTTCTCAGTCGTCTTTCAATATTTTTGCTCCGTTTTTTTAATCATGTTCCTTGGAAAAAAGCTAATCCCTACAGGCAAGTTGTTTTTGATCACTCTTACCGTTTTTGAGATATGGCATCCGAAAAGTAGGTCACAATAAAAAGTTCTTGGAATCCAATGTATAAGTTATGAAATATGTGTAGAATTGTCCAAGAAATCCGAATCTGCAAACCAGATTTTGATCCGACTTCCGGTTCGGAAGATATGACATTTTAAAATCTCAATATTTTGGTATCCCATGTTAAGTCAATGGGGCTTGAGAAAATTATCAATTGTAACAACACAACACTAGATACAGCTTGGATGCAGCCAACTTAATAAGAATCTACAATAGAAGCCGTCCTCAAAATATACTTAATTTGGACACTAAAAGGCCTAGGTCAAAATCTAGGTCAAATTCATAGTTTTTCCTTTGACTACAACAAATCATATCTGAACCAACAACAAAGGACTCATCTTTTATTGATCTCATATTTACCAATACTTTTGTTTGAAAATCAGGATATACATTCCTCTGAAGGTTCTACACAGTGTGAGCACAGGACCGTGGGTCCTTTATTTCATCTGTAATGGCATTTTCCAGTTGATGGGTTTATATATATTATTTTCAATTTTTCATGAGGGTGTCTTTAGACTACTTGTAATGGGGTGGCTAATTACTTTACTGAATGAGGAATGTTTATCCAAACAATGGATACAAAGAAAATTTGGCCAGTTGTCCATCAGTAAATAAATCATTATGATAAAAGTATAATTTATTAAAGCATCCATTTGTTACCGTTCTGAATCCAAATGATACATAGGTGCATCTATTTTATACATATATGTTGACGTTTACGAAATGTTTTTCAAATATCTTCCCTATAACAGGAATATGGTAGCTGAAACTTTCACACATTATCATACTATGTATATTGAATATGTGTGCAAGATTTCAAGTCACAATGTTAAGTAGAAACTCTGAGATCACTTACCTCGATTTGCTGTCATATTTTTGCAATGATCCCATTCCCTATAATGTACGCGAGTACCCACGATACATTACATATAAATGACTGCATCCACATAGATCGACTAGCCACAGTGCTTATAGAGAATAATTCATTTACCATGTTAGAAAAGATGCTGCAATATTGCTCCTCAGCATTAAATAGGAAAGCTAGTAAATCCATATCTGATAGCGAGCCGATATTAGGGCATTTGGTATAAAGCAAGTCTAAATATTTATTTGTGATATGTTTGAGCTCATTACACTTGAGCAAAAAATGTTCTCTTGTGCCTTTTTACATAGTTTACAAATTCTGAGTTCGGGTGGAAGATGTGGTCTTTTATATCTACCCACCTCGACTTCAAGCTTGTGACTGCTAATTCTAAGCGATGTTAAATTGCGGCGGGCATCTTTATTCTTAATATGGTCAAGATAATTTCATAATGAAATGAAAATTTGATTTGTTTATAAAACCTTAATTTGCCATTGGTATCTTTTAGCATGTTTTCAAAGTATTGTTCGTATCTTTCTTTAAGCCTAGATTTTAATTTCTTAGTGTTGACATTATGATAATCATTAAAACCTATAAATTTGAGTACTTTTAGCAAGTCATTATACCAAGAAGGCTGATTACTATTGGCCAAAGATTTACTTAATTTATATGTGATTTGCAAAATTTCTCTAATATTTTTGTATTTTTACGTTGGTGAAAGAATGTAAATTTGATAGAACACGAAAGTGTCCTGTAAGAGACTGGTACCATATTTTCCTGGCTATACATTATAGTTACGCTAGAATCGATATTTCTGGACCAATTAAATATTTTCTTTGTAAGTCTGTTTTGTTTCATATTTATGAGTCTAAACCATAAACGCACTTGCTCTTATGTATACTATAACATCATGACTTATCCGTAAGTTTAAATCGAGGAAAACAAAAAAAATCGTATCCAGGAAGTTCATCCATACATTTTGTTAGATTTTGTAACTAGTTGTGGAACAGTGATCTTGATTTCAGTCTTAAAACTTTAGTCAAATAAGTGATCAATGACCACGTGACTCTTTATGCCACTGAAACGATTGAAAAAGCGATAGGGATCAACTGGAAACGGAGAAACGATGTCTTCGTTTCAGTGTGGCTAGACTTCCGGTAGAAGAATTTGATTTAAAAAAAATTCTCGATTGAATCTGGCGAAACAGAAATATTTGAAGCGTATGACTACTTGGCCTAAACGTGATATTCTTAATAGTTGAGCATTTCTTGACAATTTCTCCACCAGGAGATAATGTTTATTTCATAACATTATTTTTCACTTCGGGGACCTAAGTTATCTTGTCGTAATAGATATTTAAGGGATTATCTTGTAGAAATTGCCTCAAGCATTTTACACAAGTGGGCATAGACATAAATTAACTGACCATCGTGACGTACAGTATGTTAATAGCCGCACTTCTATTCAACATATGCACATTGTATCCTATTATCCTCCTATTATCAAACAACACGTTAGTAAAAGTTGCAACAATTCCTCATTATTTCCAAATTTGTAGAAGATGTCAGGTAAATTTATGTGGTTTACTAAAGCAATTTTCATCGTGCTATCAGGGATAATAGTTTCAACAATGATCATCTATATAAGACACATTTCATCGTATAGGACTCACCAACATGACACATTTTCAGAGACACGTCTATACGATTCAAAAGGAATGCTAAAAAATGACAATAAAAACAATCTAAGTAAAATGAGGAATATAGTAAATATTTCTACACAGCACACGGCAGGATCTCAAGTGAGTCTTATTTATTTCCTTAAATATGGCAATAAACATAATAGTAATACATGTGGTTAAACATAAGTAAGTGGTATTGTTTGATTAAAAGTGCTTAATTTGCCGATTGGTCAAACTTTATCATTTTCCTAAGTTTAATTTTCCTAATGACAAGAAACTTCCCGTAGGATAAAATAATGAAGATAATATTTCCGACATTTAATTTTCCGAACATGACCAAAATTAGACAATAGGCAAATTAAATGACGAGGTAAAATTACCACTTATACAGTATACTCCATCGTTGGACAGCAATAATGAGAATGACCTTGTGTTAATTTAATTCATATTTTATTTTGATATAGGGAGCCTATTATATGGATGAGGCTTACACAAGGACAGGCGCCCCTTGTGAAACATTTGCTCAATTCATTAATCCAGAGAACGTGGATCGAGATCATTTAGCATCAAAAATTGTGGAACAAGGCAAAACATTTAATAAATTACCAGCACTTCCATATCAAAACCGTTTCCTCAATCCACCAGATTATATTTGGGCGAGGAATTTTGTGAAGGAACTTCAATGTTTATTAACTCGTATTGTGTCTAAGAGGATTGTCATAGTTACTGCAACTTCCGGTTTTGAAGAACAGGTTTTTAATTGGTTAACCGCTGCTGTTATAAAACTTTCTAAACCAATAGAAAACATTTTGATCATTAGTCTCGACGATACATTCCATAGAGAAATCGCAAAAAGAGGTTTTTATCCACTTCGAGTCAACGTGGATGATATAATTATCCCTAAGCTACAAAATAGAACGAAATTATCTATTTGGACAACACGGTTGGTGCTTTGGAGATTAATGCATCATATAGGATTTGAAAAAGTTATAAATTTCGATGCTGATGCAATTCCACTCCAAGACCCTTTACAATACTTCGATAGATACCCAAGGAGTGAGATTATTGCCATGGCTGCGACGTTTCCAGAAAGCATCAGTCAGACAGTTGGGTTTTCATTGAATATGGGGACCTGTCAGCTCCGTGATTCACACTTCATGCGTAAGTAGGTTTAGAAAAAAAGAATTATCAAGTAGATCAACACTGCTGCGTTTGGATATATTCTTCTTTTATATATATGTTCTAATTCTACAATATGTATATTTTACTTGTACAATAGGTATGTTTTGATTACACAATATATTTTTTGTAAAGCAGGTGTGTTTTGGGATGAGGTCGCACGACAGAGTGACAATTCCACCAAGAAACCAGATGACCAATATATCATTAACTACACCCTATTTATCAAAGGCCTAGAGTGGAATATAGTAAGCTCTCGTAGAAGCTTTCCGGGACATAACGAAAGTGCAGTTATGCATCGTGATGTTACCGGACAGACGGGAGATGGATTAAATACTGTTGCCCTGTCAGCGGAGAAATTCTGTAGAGCAACATGTATGCGTAATATAACCAATAACCTGATAGTTTCACATCCACAACCATCTAAACTCTTCTTCAACTATACATCACCAAACTGGAATTCATCATCAACATCAAAAGGACTGGAATGGTTGAAAAATAATTTTGCAGTTCAAGCTGATGTGTAAACGGAACATCAAATACTAAAATCAATTTTAGATCCTTGCATATTTTTAAGTGAAAGTTTGATTTTCTATTGAGGAATATTTATCATTGCAAAATTCTGGGTTCATCACATTTCATCCTGAAATCTGTATGATATCAAATCCCAGCGTCCGTTTTAAACCCCTGAAAATGTATCCCATTTCAGGAGCAATTGTAAAACTGATTCCTGCATATCTAACAAATTCCATTTATTTTCGAAAGCGATATACCAAAATTAAAAAATATGGCGTTTTGGCCCACCCTGTATACATTGACATATACTATACGTACTTTATATATTGGCATTATCCTATGAGTAACACTATGAGTAAATACTTAATAAGAGAAATCATAACAGACAATCACAAGTGCCAGTTAATTCTTGGGGAAGGCTCCGAACAAATTTTTAAGAATGAACTCAACTCTGATGTTTTACATTATCAAAAATTGTATTTCAGCAAATTATACACATACAGTTATGTACATAATATTGTGATATGCTCGCACACCACATCCCATCAATACGTTTTCCAGCAAGGGTTGTTCACAAGCATATCAAAGCTTGTTGGTGTTTCTTACTTCAAACAATATAATATTTCCGATTATTATATCACTGTCATATTCCTCACTCTCTGATTGGTACATGTCCTACACGTGACTAAAAAAGCAAGCGAAATTCACCAGAAGTCACGATTATCAAATGATACTCTCCAGTCCGACTTAGTCCAGTATGATATTTCAATTTTATACTACCCGGGAGTACATTGTCATGATTAATTAGACATCAATAGTTTGTTATTCCATTAATGTGAGTGAGGAATACAACAGTGAATAATAAAACAAATATTTAATTCTGATGTTTCGGGCTTCGTGGAATATCACTTGTGAAAGATGCACAGGCATTCATCTCAAAAGAATTAAATATTTGTTTAATATGAGAGAAACCTCGTACTCTTTAAAAGATGGCGTTATAGGACGGTATGGCGTAATCCTTCACAGGTTCCACATGTTTTTGTAAATACTCGAGGACAATTTTTTGTGACGAGTTACCTTTTAGAATATAACTCTGCTGAATAAAGAATAAGATTATCTGGTAAATGATTTCATTGTTCATTGGTAAGGATAAAGTTTACTTGCGATGAGATATTCTCATAAAGAATCTTCCTGAATTTGCTTTCTGCAAATCAAATTTTAAATGGTATTTGCAAACCCAAAGCAGGCCCCTCCAAAGAGAGGTTGACCATCTCTCACCTATTTTTCAAGAAACATTTTTTTTTAGAGATTGTCGTCTTTATCCTAAAATATGGCTCTCCGACATGCTCAGAATGCGCAAGAGGGTCTGTATTTCAAAAAATGCTGGGGCGGGCATACCCCCAGATCCTAGCTTGCGGTGTAAATTGTAAATTGGGTTATCGTTTGGGTGGAAGTCCAATACGATGCTAGTTCATGTGCACCTTTTAAATACACGGACCTAAAAACATAGAACAGCTTGGTCCCTGTAATATAATGAGAACCTATTGCAAACTTTATATTGTCTAGGAATATGTTGTCGAAAGTCCATCAGAATTATTCATTTTATTTTGCACGACTGACGAATGACTCAACGACGTCATTCGGTCGAGTTTGGTCAGGCTGCGAATAGGATGGACAAGATATAAAAGGATGACTGCCGAAGAAATTCGAACAGATTTGAGTTCCAGATATCCTTCCTGTCAAAGCATATCCATGGAGTTAGTAAATGAGAAGTGTACAGTGAGAAACTGAGATTATATCACACCTGGTCGACCATTCCTTTATTACCACTCGTATGAAGAGGGGGAGAAACCCCAGGGTTCAAAGATGACATACGCTTATAATGTAAATCGTATGTCATCAATTGAATCATGGGGTTTTCCCTCCTCTTACTCATATGCTACGCGAAAGTCTTCATCTGTGCATATAAAATCCGAGTCTATTGCCTGGTAGAATGTTCCATTATACCATTTACAATAGGAGTTCATGTCAATTTTCAGTTTGTATAAGTAGCCAAACCCGTAAAAGAGCATCAGCTCTTGGCCAGCTAGTATAGTCTTTATACTTCTGAAGTATATCTGAAAAACGTAGAAACTGAAAATTAAAGACAGAACCAGACATACAAAATCATTGGTTCTCATAAAATAAAGTATAAACTTAGATTCTCTGAAAACAGGTAATTAAATCCAGCCCTTAGCGAAGGTTTTGATCCCCTGTTTTCAAAGAATCTAAATATAAGCTGAAAGGTACCACCTCCCTAATAAACTTAAAATACACATTTTGTTATATTTCTCAGATGCTTATTTTAAATCAAATTATTTTTTCTTACATAGCGACGTCATTTAAGCTTCCTTGGCCATTATAGTTGCTTCCGATATAATGTTTTGTTTATTACAGGAATACCCGATCTGTAAACTATGTTACCTCATCTTTACACTGCAGGAATTCTAAGTTTTGCTCCATCATATCAGTAGCACAGTTGACGTACCTCAACCAATTAGAGGTATTAGGGTTCCATGCATCTCTGTACATGTAGATATAGTCATTCTTCTTTAACTGGAACACAGAGAATATGAGCCTTGTCATGGCAATTCTAGCAAATAATGATTTTCATAATTATGAAAGTTCGATTCAAACGACATTAAATTTGAAATTTGCAGCTAGAATTCGTATTTGGTGAAAGCTTTTGACGTGGCAAAATCTGTGCGTTTGAGAGGTGTAATGATTATGTACTGCGTCGCTATAAAATAAAGAATACAGCTATTTGCACATTATCCTTTTCATTTTGTATCATATACAAATACAGTGTATATGAATATAATTGAATACCACATACGGCTTACTCTATAAAATATCAAGTTTAAAAATGACCCTTAAATCCGCACCACGAGCGCATGAGATCATCATCAGTCTGAGTGTATAGCACCGTCCACATAGGGTGCTATAGTAAACAGTGTTCAACTTCAAGTCAATAAAAACGTCGGCTTTGTTCTTAGCTTCAGGTTTATGAATTCGAATTATATTCATCTTCTGGTCACTATATCATCATACGTCATTGTAAAAACAAGTCGTTTGCATGCAAAAAGCACTCACCTTGATTAATTTCTTCACCTAGGGAATAATAATAACCGCCCTGAATGATAATGGTAATTTTAATCATGGTTACACCCCCTCCAAAAATTTGGTAATCAATAGTCTTAATATGACAGCGAATTATAGTCTGTAAATTTTTAAATCTTTATTTTATTTTGTATTCATTTTCGTTTATTACAACAGTTCCATATCTAGAAATACGCGAGGCAGAATTGGTGAGGCTTTATATGAGTTAGAGGAGATATGATATGTTATATATGATTAGATATGAAACTTTACGTATTAGTCAATTCATTTTCCGTCCTCTGCCTAATGCCTTGCCATGCCCACCATGCAGTCTAATGCCTTGCCATGCCCATCATGAAGCCTAATGCCTTGCCATGCCCATGCAACACACTAAATGTCATCACTAAGTTGCCAGAAAAGCAAATTTTTAATCTTTATGCTAAATAAACAAATTAGACATTGTAACTCATTTAACCTTGGGATCCAACGAAATATAAATTAAAAATGAGACACTGTCTCAAAGGAGCAATTATTTTTGAAAATATAGATGTAAAACAACTTCATCTGTATGTGCCGGATACCGATTTCTACGTTTACACGATTGTAGGCAGAAATGAATTATATAAATTATTAGCTGGAAGGTAGGAACTCTTTTTGTATGGTACCTTGTCATCTTTATTACTTTCAAGGATTTTAAAATATAGACAAAACGATTGTAGGTTGCTTTTAGACTTATTGCTTTCAATTCAGTTAGTTGTTTTGTTGATTTTCTCAATATATCAGCAATACTATGCCCCGTCATTTCGTCTCAATGTATATCAAAGGTATGTACGATATTAAATGAGTAATCATAATGGGACATCACTGATATTCCGGAGGAGAAACCTACAGGGTGGTCCAAAAAGGTGACCTCCTGCAACAGGCTATATTTACCTTAAAGTGTTAATTCGGTTAAATCGTGGTTCCAAAGAAGTCAAAGTCGAATCATTTCCGCATTGCAATGAATGCAGTGTGGCAATCAATTACACTGACACTTTATAAGCACGTTCGGAGATCATAAACTCCAGCAACATGTTCAAAGCCTGTTCTGATCGTGATGTCATGATTGGCACTTGACATTGGGTTCCCGATTTTGAATATCAAATTTCACATTTATAGAAAGATTTACAAGAACGGTACATGGTTTGACTTGTAAGTGGTGTTTACTTCATGTATTAAACTGAATTTTAAATTCAGTGTTTTGAGCCATATTTCATTAGAATTGGTCCATGATAAATGAAGATATTGACATTTTAAGACCATATAGGGGTATGTTGCGATTTCACTGGAAGATGTTTTCGTCATTGGAAACTGAGACAATTTCTTTGGATCACAATAACTTTGCAACTAGCTGAGGCAAGATGCTATTTTTACACCATAGTGTGCGGGATTCAAAACTAAAAAAAATAAGAAAACATGGTTTTTCAGACTGCGGCTAAAAAGATTTCAACAGGAAGATTGTTGAAGGGTTGAAGAATCGTAAATGTTGAAGTTCACATTTTATTGATTTGCAGTGCTGTTTGGTTAAGGGCTTATAATTTCTACAAACAAGAATGAATGGTATCAACAAAAGTGTAGACCTTCCTCTACAAAATGTGAAAATATGAAAGGATTCCTGTGGGTAATAAGGGAAATATAACTTTTTTGGACCACCCTGTACAGACTGCATTCAATACTGTAAGCCAATATGTCTTATACACGAGACAATTGTCCAGATACATTATCGCTTGAGCTTAAGAGTGCATTAATCAGTGGTATTGTAGTAACATATTGAGAAAAGATGATTGTGATTTAGTAGTACTTGAACTAAAACATAGGAGTACTGCACATATCCTTTAAATCTACATGTTCTCAGAAGTTCAAATCTGACTTAGGTCCCATATAAAGTTTAAACCATTTTTGCTTATATTGTAGCCTTGCCCAATGTTATTAGAATTTTAGAGCTCACGCATAACTTTTAATAAGCGATAATTCACTCTAATGCAGCTTTCATCCTCACGTGTCTTTTGTAGAAAAAATTAAGAAAATTGGTTGGTAAATAAGCGAGAAATAAACCCATCCATGTATGACAGTGGTTCAGAAAAATGCATTTCAAAATTTTAGTTCTCATAGAAACCAATGGTACGGTACAGTAATGTTTAAGCATAATATATTCTTCTTTTCAACCTAGTTAGACATTAAATATGACATTTTATTAATTTAATGGTATGTTCTTTGTTCAATCTTCACAATGGCGTCAAAAAGATTATGTGATTTGCGCTGTATAATGGAATATTTGATGATTAAAAATGTTCTTCTTTTATGTGAAAAATGGCGGAAGATTTGAATGTTTAAGAAATAAAAAGCTGACAACTTTTTCCTCCCAAGTTGTTTTTCAAAAATCTCTAAAATTACTTTTAAAATCATAACAAAGAGTAAATGAATGATATATAAAAACATATTTTCCAACCTTATATAGGGCCTTTAAAAACTAATAACGACATGCGAATACGTCTTCAATTGAAATACAACATTGCATTTGGTAAATATGCAGCATGAAATCATTTAACATTTCTTTAAAGTCCCCGTCTAAAGTTTGAAAATATTTTTTTACCATTCATTTACTATTTGTCGGGACTTAAAAAGTGATTTTAGAGATTTTTAAAGAAAAAACAAATTTTGAAAAAAAGTTGTGAGCATTTCATTTCTCAAATATTCAAATTTCCCGCCATTTTTCAAAAAAAGTTGAAATTTCTTAATCATCAAATATTTCTTAATGCATTTCAAAAAAATTATCGTTTTAACACCAATGCAAAGATTGAACAAAGGACACACTATTTCAGTAATAAAATGCCATATTTAATGGAACACTTCAATGTTTTAGCATATCAAAAATATTTTGAAACATTAGTGATGTCACTAAGGTAGCAAAAACTTTTTGAAAAAAATTGAAATTTCTTTTTCGATGTCAATCTTTTCTAAATATGCTAGACTTTCATAAAAAAAAACAATGTTGATTGTCTAACCAGGTTAAAAGGAAAAATAAATTATGTTTTAGATATCATTGTACCATTGGTTTCTATGAGAACTAAAATTTTGAAATGCATTTTTCTCAGAACCATTTTCATGCATTGATAAGTTCATTTCTCGCTTATTTATGAACCGATTTTCTTAATTCTTTCGGCAAAAAAACATGGGAGGATGAATGCTATGCATTGGTATGAATTGTGGCTAATTTGAAGATATGAGTGACCTCTAAAAGTTCGTTTTAAATATATTCACAAATTTTGGAACAAAAAGTCTTTTTGAAATTTAAAAAAAAGTTTCACATATCACACTATGATAACATTGGGTAAGACTACAATATAAGCCAAAGTGGTTTAAACTTTATATGGGGCCTTTAATCAGTATGAAATAATTTATTGAAATATCATATGTACAAACATGGATATCTTATTGATCTTCGCTAAAATGTAACTCATAAAACACAATTTGCCTTGAATGGGGGTTTGCTTTGTAATTAGGATATTATCGTCTTGGTTCTCAATTGTCAATTTGAGACGTTAATAGCCTAATAATCACGTTTATACGTCTAATACGGTGATCAACGATGCAAGACATTCTATCTATCTGGTATATACCAGGTATATAAGAACCTTCGTGCATACTGTAATATACTATCTAATACTAACTATAAGCTAATACTATATAAATCCTTTCTTCCTGTAATAACTATTAACACCAGTGTTTGAAATTTTTATTTCCTGAACTAAAAGTTGATACTTGTTAGAAATATTCCAAATTGTGTTTTAGCACAATCAGACACAACCCTCCTATCCATCTATATGTAATATCAATTCTTCACAGAATATCATACTTTATATTGCATTCGTGGTTGAAGATTAATAAGGTTGTTGAATTAATAGAACAGCTGTAAAAATTACACGATTCTAAAACTTTTACTTGTGAGAATGCATTATTCTCGCACTTCTGCAATCAATTTTCTTTACAATATCAATGCTTTTAACATAACGTTTTGGTCGGGTAAGGTTTAATACTAGATTTTTAACTGAATTGATCAAACGAGGAAAAAGCAATTATATATACCGTAAAGTCACCTGGGGCGGTAATTAAGAATTCCAGCTGAAGAAATACCATAAAAATGTACAAAATAATGTGCAAAAATCTAGATGATAGAAAAATGAACACATTTATGTTACAATATCGTTACATTAAATAAAAAGTAGTTATTCACTAGGAAGGATTTGATATTGGGAATATCACAACTTCACAAGGATGATGTCAATATTTCCCGAGGGAACGCAGTGGCCTAGGGAAATATGGATATCATCCGAGGGATATTATCCACATCATACCGATAGGTGAATAACGACCTTATACCATGGTCAAGAGCAATATCTACCTAACCCTACTATCAC